GAACAATCTGATCCAAGTGATGAATCAGCAGAAGAAGATGGTGATGACAATAATGAAGATAATAATGTACAAATAGATAATACAAAGAAAAATGATTTAAATATTACACCATATGATGAATCTAAAACAGAAGAACTTTGGAAGAATTTTACAAGTAGTACAAAATCATCAGATACTCCAAAGATAACAACAACAACAACAACAGAAGTAGAAAAACCAAAACAAATAACTAAAATACTTGATTATGCCGGTGAAAAAGTAATTGTACCTGTTACAACACCAGCAACAAATTCATCTTTAAAACGACCAGCTTCATCAGCAGCAACATCTAGTTCTTTACTCGATCGTCTTGGCATCGGTAAAAAGCAAAAATTATCAACATTAGAAAAATCTCGTCTCGACTGGTCTAATCATAAAGAATCTGAAGCATTAACAGATGATTTAGATTCTCATCGACGAAGTAAAGATTCATATGTTGAAAGGAAAGCATTTCTACAACGTTCGGAAGTTCGTGAACATGATCATTATTTAACCAATGTAAAAAAAAAATAAATTTGTTATACTATTAGTCAATAAAACATATTTTGATAAAATCTCAAAATATCTCTTGTGTAAATAAAATCATATAGTCAATTTTGTATATATATTTGTTTAATATTTTAAGCGTTCTTAAATTAGATATATTATTCTAGCAACACTTACAAAACTATTCAGCTAATTTAAATACTTTATCAATTCGTTGAAGGGGTTTGAGCTGATACAATAGGATTAGATAGTGAATGTCCTACTTAAATAAGATTCAAGTTTTCTTTTTTATAAATGAATATCATGTATGTATTTTCTAAGTATTAAATCCAACTTATGTATATACGGTGTGGGTGTGCGTATCTGTGCGCAACTCACATCCACCTTAATATAAAAGTTTTTCTTAACATCAACATGAGTTTTTTAATAAAATAAATTTTTAATCTTCGTTTATCAATGTATAATATTTGAAAAATAAATCAGATATACTTTTCAAATTCATAAAATAATATTCATACATGTTTAGTTTTTATTGCATGAAGGAGATATTAAAAATAAAGATAAAATCATTTTTGATTAAGTCTTATTCCTAATTTCATTAATAAAAATCTATACTGATAGATTTTTGAAATATAAATCATAAATCTTCTTCAATAAAAAAAATAAAATATTGATAAGCATATATTTTGTATCGTAGAAGTTTTACTAATAATTTATTATCTTTCTTTTTTTATTCAAAACAACAAAAAACAAATTGAAATTATCTTTTAAAAATAGTCTTTACATGAACATTGTCCATTTTTATAGAAATGATGAATTCGATTTGCATCATGAACAATAATATCACGTCGACGAATTAAAGCAATTAATTTTGTTGCTCGATCTATGCAAAAACAATAAATAAATAAATAAATGAAAAAGAAAAAGTGTATAATACAAATGATTATGCACTTACGACAATCTGTACAAACACGAAGATTTTTAGTTAATTGTATTCGTGATGTATTAGGATTTGCAACAAAATTTTATGCTATTGCAAGTCGTTCACCAGTCTTGATATACAACGTGGATCATATTTGTGACCATGCTTGATAAGTTCTTTAGAAATTTTATTGATTTCATCATAGATTTCTTTTGATCGTGGATGAGATTCATCATGAGCTCGGAATTCCTTAATAAAATTATTTGATATTATTTGTAAATAAGAGTATTAGTACAATTCTAAAACTTACATAGGCTTGCCTATTGACAACAGTTTTTAAAAGACCAATTTTCTTCTTACCTGATTGAATCAATTTTTTTTTAATATAAAATGCTTTGTCGAATTCACCACATGATTGATAAACATTGCCAAGAAGAACTGATGCTGATGTTGATGGATTCTGGAATTTTGGAAAAAGTTCTTTGATCCGATAATAAAACTTCTTCCCAGGTCGAACAATCCGGCACGAAAAAGACCGATTCCGTAGTATTCCGGAGATTTCACGGAAGCAATATTCCCGTTGAACGGATCCGGTCACCGGATTTCTGATATTTTCCCGGCGGGTTCCGCTCAGAAATGGCGAGTTTCCTCAGGGATTCTGCCGAAAATTCATGGAATTCTGCTTCATGAATCATCGTCCTGGGTTGCACCAGATAATAATTTGAGCCGATGCTTTCAAAACTTGAATAATTGCTAAATTAGAAAATGTTTCTATTTTATTTTTTTTGTATTCATCAAATAATTCAAATACTTTTTTATATTGTATATTATCATTTAATAATTTCATTTGGCTGGCTAAATCACGATCAGGTCGAATACTTGACGAACTTTTAACAATAGTTATTAGAAATCGTAAACGATGATTTAATAATTTGTTCGACATGATATATTTCTCTCATCTAAAACTAAGTTTTAATTCTAAGTAACACATGTATATATTCATATTTTATTCGTATTGGATATATTTCGTAATCCAACCAAAGCTAGAAAATCAATCAAATAACGAAAATTATAATAAAATACATTTGTTTATCAGTTTCAAAAGTCTATGTAGATTATTCTCTACTAGTAATCAGAATTGAACGAGACATCTCAATCATAGACTAATATTTGTTGATCAAATTTCAAATCGAAAATATTAATTAATTCAACTTTAAATATATATTAATTACATTTATCTTAGAAGATGCCGCTCTCGTATAATACACATGTCATTGATAGGGTGTAGGTGTAGATAACATGGCAACATCCACACCCTTCAATAAAAAAAAAATATTCATAATCGTAGAAAATTTACTAATTATTCATTATTTTTCATTCTGTTTTTATTGAAAACAAAAAAACAAATAGTAACAAAAGAAAAAAGAGTTGAAGTTATATTTCAAAAATAGTCTTTACATGAACATTGTCCATTTTTATAGAAATGATGAATTCGATTTGCATCACGAATAATTATTTCACATTGACGAATTGAAGCTATTAATTTTATTGCACGATCTATTAATAAAAATAAAATTAAAATAAAGGTGTTCAAAATGATGACTTACGACAATCACTACAAATACGAAGATCATTTGTTAATTGAATTCTTGTTGTATTTGGATTTGAAATAAAATTCCATGCAATTGCAAGTTTTTCACTATGTCCATTAAATACTGATTCAATAGTTTCACCTTCGTTCAATAGTCTTGATATACAACTTGGATCATATTTGTGACCATGCTTGATAAGTTCTTTAGAAATTTTATTGATTTCATCATAGATTTCTTTTGATCGTGGATGAGATCGATCATGAGCTCGAAATTTCTTTAAAAAATTCATTAGATATATTATTCTAATTGTAAGACTTACATAGATTTGTCCATTGACAACAGTCGTTGTGTGGCCAACTGTTTTCTTCAGACCTGATTGATTCAATTCCATTATAATATCGGATGCTTTATTAATTTTAGTAGATAATTCATCAACACCATCAAAAAGAATTGATACTGATATTGATGGATTTTCTATTTCAGGGAAAAGTTTTTTCATTTTTTCACCAATTTCTTTTGATAAAGGCTTATTCTTTTTAATCATTGCATTTGATAATAATGCTACTAAAATACAGATATACAATTCTATTTAAATTATCAAATGTTTGAGAGATACTAACGGTACATAGGTGATTGAGGTGAATGAGAAAGTTCAAATTGATCAATTAATTGTTTTGCTTCATCAAATAAAGATGTTCGACAAAGACACTCGATCTAAAAAAAGTAAAGGATAATCAAATAAAAATCAAATAATATTTTTAATACCATTGTTGTATAAATTCTTTCTGTTTTTGTTTGAATACTTTCAAAGATTGAACGAGCTTCAGACATAAGTCCTGGAGATGAACATGCATTTAAAATACAAATATTTATTGATTCATTGATTAGTTTTGATGGAATTTTATAATAAAGTTCAATTGCTTTAGTACCCATTCCATTGTAACCATAACAATTAACTATTCAAAAAGAAATAATAGAAACATTTCTATCGTTTTTTCTATTTTTGAAATCAAACAAACTCATTGATGCATATACAATTTGATCTGGTTGAGAAAATCTTCTGAAAATTTCTTCGGCTTTATCAACATATCCAACTCTACCCTAAATGAATTTATATAAATTAAAAAAAAATTTATTTTATTTTATTTTTGTCAACTTGCCCACAAATGAATTAATGCATTGGATATTTGATCATCAATAAGAATCGATTTGGGAATTTGTTCAATAATTAGTTTTGAAAATGAATAATCAGCACTTTGAGATAAAGCTTGAATAACATAAGTATAAATTCTAACAGTTCCTTCAATATTATTCATTTTCATTTCAGAAAATAAATCAAACGTTTTGGAAAATTTCTCATTTTCATTAAATTCATTCATCATTGTTTCATATATTGATACTGATTTATTTTTTGATTTCGAAAATAATAATTGGGTAAATTTGATATCATTACATTTCTTCTTAGCATCTAATAAAGAAGTTGAAAGTCGAGGATTTGACATGAAAGATTCAGGAATTTGTTTTGAAACTTTTTCTATTAAATTTAATCCTTCTGCATTTGCTAATTGAGCACAAGCATTAAATAGAAGAATAATAATAACTTCATCAGGATCTTTTATTTCATTGAAGAGATCAATCGCTTTCTTTGCTTCATTATTTTTAATATAACCTGAACAAAATAAAAAAATTTATTTAATAGATTTTAATTTAAACTATGATAAATTAAACCTTTCATCATTGCTTCATAGATTGACACAGATTTTTTTGTTAATGTGTCAAATAATAAACGAGCATCTTTTATATGATCACAATTGACTTTAAATAGAAAATAAATAAATGAGATGAATATATTTATGAATAAACTTACTATAGAAGTGAATTAATGATATTAATATATAAGAATCATTATTTATACGAGATGAAAGAAGATGATGAATATTTCTACCACGTTGAACATCATCTAAATGAATACATGCTTTTAAAGCTTGACTAATGGTTAAATTCGATAATGATTTAACATTATTTTTCTTGTACGTATCAAATAATTCAAGTGATTTATTAAATTGTTTATTATCATTTAACGATTTCATTTTCATGCCCAAATCAAAATCAGATTCAATTTTAGTCATTGAATGTTTAACAGAAATTATCAATGACGATAAACGAGAAGTTAATAAACGGTTTGACATCGAACTATGTATCATATTGACAAATTTTATTTAAAATAAAAAGAATGATAAGGAGAGATCGAATTTGGGTAATTTTAAAATGTGTTGTTCTCTTTACTATTTTAATTGGATATCATTATAAAACCAATCAAAATCATTTCATTTTAATAGTTAATTCAAGTTTTGTAGTTCTCAAAATAACGAAAAAAAGAGAGTTGAACATCAATTGATGTGTTTCTTGCTTTTGACGATTTCTTTATAAAACTCTATTATCTATTATTATAAGTATTTGCCTAGGTCGAATATTCATTTAAAACTTTATAGATTCGATACATAAGCAGTTGTTTAGTCTTATGCAGCTTTATATATACAAGTAATCAACTACGAACTTTAAGTCAACATTGAAATATCGTCTGCAATAACAATATAAAGTATCGTGTAGTGAAGTACAGGTAACTTAAAAATAATTAAGTCTAATTATTACAATTCAAGCGAACGAGATATTTCTTCAATCATCGATACATACTCACACAAGAGACATTGAAAATCTTTACTAAAGCATGATCACTAAAGGGTTATAAAAACATCATTTATTGCTTTGAATAAAAGGCAAGGACATCTCTTTTTTTTATAATTTCTTCACACTTTTGTCAATCTATCACAAACATACTTCATATATCCAAAATATTTCATAATTTATTATCTGATTTAGTTGAAATATTCAATTTTACTGTAACTAAAAAGGTATACGAAACAAAGTTGACATGTAGTATTATAATCTTTAATATTTGAAACAAATCATTCATTCATGTCGTAACACATGTACGATCATGCAATAGGTACATTAAATTAGCTATTATTACTTATTTAAGATAAATTATTTATATTTCACGCCATATACTTCAATAAAGACCTGTCAATTCTTTTAATTATTAAACATAGAGAGCATACATTGTTTGAGAACTATTTATATATTCATAAAAAAAACGGACTAATGCACTTGTCTGAAATTAAAGTGATGTAACCTTCAATTAGTTTTTTTCTTGCCACGGTTATTATAGTGATCGTACTTGTAATGTTAGTATCGATATAAAAAAAACAGTTTCTAGTCATATAGAAATAAATGATCGTTATTGATTATCATAATATTGTCATGTCTACCATCTTTTTTTTTAAAAACATATATATGATACTTATGCATGCAAGCACTGTTAGTCATTTGATCGTTATACATTAACGTCAAAATGATCAATATACAAATATAAAAGTTTATGAGAGAAGAGGTAATCGATTGAATTTCACTTAACTCGATATTGAATAGTTCACGTATTTCTGTCTCTTACTCATTTTTTTCTCTTCTTCTTCTGTTCTCTCTTTCATATAATAATGTCTCATTTTAATCGTCATCACTTCGTTCTTTGAAAGAAGAGAACAGAAAAAAAAATCAATGCGGAATAAAAGTAAATGTATGTAACGAGGAAACCAGTCACTACTCATTTCAATCATATAATAAGAGACGACGAGTTGCATGTATGTATGTTCGTTACTATAATTTTCTTTCTTGCGGCAGGTCAACTCCATTATTCTTTTTTTTACTCACAGCTATAGTGAGAGAAAGAAAGGATAATAACAATTGAGCTTCTACCTCGTCGTTTACTTGTGTACAAAAAGATCTAAGAGTTGGTTACATCAGTACATTTCGATATATAGTATTATATTATTTGCGCAATAGACGTAGACAGACATAGAAAAGAAAGAAAGAAAGAAAGAGAAATAAAAACAAGGACTCTCGTCATCGACAACGCATAAAATCATTCACATTTTTTTTTAGTATATTATGTTCTATTGACAAACTGTATGAATGCTTCCTCAATACGCACAACGTAAGTTATTCAAATGAAATTTTTTTTGATTTCATTATATTAAATAATAATGAAAAATTTATAGGTCAAAACGGAGGTGAAATAGCTATTTGGCTCTTAATTACAGTTGGTGCTCTTCTTATTCCTATTATTGTAATTGCCATTTGTTGTATACGGCGTCAGTAAGTATTGAGTTCTTTATTACTTGTTAGATGATTGTATTGAATCGAAAGAATTCTAAAGTAAAACATTATATTTACAGACATCGAAGTCACTTTTCTCGTTCAGTTCTCGTAAGTTTGCCTTTTTTTCAAATCGCTGCTTTCTTCTTTCTCTTGCTTATACTGATACATAATAATGTGTGATGATTATGCTAATTCACACAGAATAAACACATGTCCTTCAAATTATTCATTCATTCATTCACAGCTGTTGGCAAAATATTCCTGCTCGTCGTCCACCATCTTCTTTTGCTATTATTACTAACAATGATGAGTTACTAATTAATTCGAATTCATTACCACATCATATGTGGGATCCTTATGTATGTGAATGTAATCGAATAAAACAAAATGAGATTTATATATATGTTAGAGTTTTGTGTTCGATGTGTATTTGGTGTCGGTATCTTAGTTTTAATTTATTTGTTCACATTTTATTACATATATATCTTTTTGATTCTGCACATGTTTTTTTTAGTCTAAATTATGTTGATCTTTCATTAAATATTGTTTTTCTTTTCAGCTTAGCAAGAAGACCACACATAAAATTGATGGACAATCCATCCCTCCGTATGATGATGAATACGAAACGGGCAGAGTCCCTACGGTATATGATTTAAAAAAATTTATACATTTTTAAAAAATTCTTCCTCTGTTACGGATCTGTTTAGTTCGTATAATGGTCCCTACGTAGAATCAGGCAATGAAAATGGATATGTAATATCTGAAAATAATATAAATCCAAGTTTATCTCGTACAAATTCACTTAAAAAACAACATGTTCATTGGCCTGATGGATCCATACGACCAAAAACTAATGATATCTATCCAATAAAAAAGAAACAATTTACTGAAGAAAATATTCTTAATACTACACAACTTACTGCATCTCCATCATCTCATCGTCGGTCGACTTATACATCATCAGCTCTATCACATATTATTCAAACGGCTATTATTCCTGCTGGTTCTACAGTTAGCAGTACTGATACAAATCAATTATTAGCATTATCTAAAGAATTTACATCTAATTCAACTGGAACGAATAGCATTGTATAATTTTATTAATTCTTCTTGTGTAGAATATTTTTGTATATTTTAAATGCGAGTTTTTTTTTTCTTCTTCTTTTAAATAATAGAAAACGAGTGATAGGTAGTAAAAAAAAATAAGAATATTTCTTGTATGATCATGTACAATATTTCATCTTCATTATATATGTTATCAAAAGAGCTAGAATTAAAATTTTATAAAAAAAAAGAAACATTTTATAAAAAATAGCTAATTAAAAATGTTTAACAACAACCACCACTCTTTTTTTGATGAACAGGTTTTGTAGAACTATCCTTTTTTAGACGAAATGATTCTGGAGGCGATACGATTTCAACGCGATCTTCCTTTACAACAGGTTTACTTGGTTCATGCTCTGTTGATGATGATGTTTTTGTCATTGCTGGTGGATTTTCTAAGGATTTTGGCGTTTTTTTATAAAAAATACTTGTAACAAGTGTTTGAAATGCTTGCTCAACGTTCGATGCATTAAGTGCGGATGTTTCCAAATAGGATACATTTAATTCTTTTGCAAGATTTGTTGCTTTCTCTTGCGATATTTTACGTTGATCAACTAAATCAGATTTATTTCCAATTAATACAATTGGTAAATCTGCTGGTGTATGTCGATGTAATTCTTCTATCCATGTTATCATATGATCAAATGAATCAGGTTTAGTTAAATCAAATACAGCTAAAGCACCTTCACTACCGCGATAAAATTGTGGTATAACAGTTTTAAAACGTTCTTGACCTGCTGTATCCTATATATAATGATAACACGTTAGAAAGAAATTTTTCGAATAAAATAAAACTTACCCAAACTTGTGCTTTTATTTTTTTACCTTCAACGACAAGTCCTTTATTAGAAAATTCAACTCCAATTGTTGATTGAGTATCAAGACGAAATTCATTACGAGTGAAACGTAATAAAAGATTACTCTTAAAATCAAAAAAATAATTATTAACTTAAATAAAATTTATTTCCTACCTTTCCAACAGAACTATCACCTATAAGAACTAATTTAAATATAAAATCATATTCATTTCCTCCACTTGATTTGGCCATATTTATTTTATAAAGAAAAATTTAGAAGTGTCTATGATATGATGAAAAAGAAGAATATGTTCGACGACTCATAGACACATTCTTCTTCTTCTTTTATTCATCCAACATTATCTTATCAGACAAACCATGTTTTATAACAACAGAAAAGACAAAAAAAAGAACTTTACAATCATCACAATACTCTATTCTTTTATTTCATCAAAAAGATACACCAAAATGACTAAGTCACATGCCTAAAATATTAACCAATTAAATCTATTTACATCCCATAGTTTCAAAGTTTTTTTTATGATGTTATGAAATAATATATTTATTTTGTATGACTCAACGACATGGAATGATGAATCGTTGTTTAAGTGCAATATAGTCTTTCTATAGAGATCTTGTTAAGATTGAGAATGATGCAAGCTTATAAGTTGAAAAAAGCGCATTTTGGTTTGAGTTATTATATATTGAAGAATTCAGCGCAGATATATATTGCATTCTTGAATACATATTTCACAACAGATTTGAAAAAAACACATGATATCGAGAAGAAAGTAGTCGTGTTTAGCTAAAACTTTTGATATGTTCTAGCAATCTTCAGACGCTTCTCTGTAGAGGAAGTCAAATAAAAATATTTACTTTCTGTTTGGAATGTAATCTGTAGTAATAGGCGAAAAACATAAGATAATGACTGCAATTTGAAAAGGTAGTATTAGAAATATAAACCATAAGATTCGTCAATAATAAAGATGTGAGAGGGAAATACAGAGTGATAGTTATCATATACGATTTATTAGATCAAGATAACTCTGATTTCTTGTGTATTTCGTAGTTTTGTCATAGTTAAATCAGTTACATCAAAAGGATCTTTTACATAGACTATCGTAATAGGCTCAATAATATATTTTTCAAATAGAATTTGAAGTTCTAATAATTTATCTATGTACATATGCCTACAAATATCTTTGTATACTAGCGCTTACCTTGGATAATAACATTGCTTCAAATCAATTCTAATAGATGTGCAAGCTAAAGACAAATAAATATCTTTCACTTTTTCGTTGTATCTTTTATTAATCGAATATCAACACTTATTATCATTAAAATTATATCTAGATAAGGAGGCAGTAATGAACATCGCCAAAGTATCTCCGTATTACTCCTAGTTTGTCAATTATTTATGCTTATTCACTGCACTTATTTTAGATCATATGAACTGGTTTCGCAATTCATAGATACATATAATTGAGTATTGTAATCTCTAATAAATAATAAATTCTACAATTTTACTTGTTTTTTGTTATAGTATTATGAATTTATTTTTATTTAAGACGCAAAAAGAAAATGAAGGTAAAATTATTTATTGTATTTAGTCTTTAGTTAAATGAAAAGAACTTTAATTTGATTGTTTCTCTTCCAAATAAGCTTGTTTTTCAGCATCACTTAATCCATCTTTTGGAGGATTATCAACATGATGTAATTCATGATTACCACCTTGAACTTCTATTAAAACTTTAGCTTGTGTTGTTGATAAGGATTCAGCTGGTGGTTCAACATGATGTAATTCATGTTTACCACCTTGAACTGCGAGTAATACTCTAGCTTGTGTTGTTGATAATGGTGTACCTGGTGGTTCAATATGATGTAGCTCATGTTTACCACCTTGAACTTCTATCAAGACTTTCGCTTGTGTTGTTGATAATGATTCAGCTGGGGGCTCAACATGATGTAGTTCATGTTTACCACCTTGGACTTCTAGTAATACTTTAGCTTGAGTCGTTGATAACGATTCAGCTGGTGGATCAACATGTTTTAATTCATATTCATGTTTTGTTACTTCTTCCAGAACAGCTTTTTGAGCAGATTCAATAGATTCATCCGAAGACATGATTAAAATATAATAAATATCTAGAAGAAGAAATTATAATCGTGTTCTATTGTTGAATTAGTCATCTAATATGAATAATTTCAGATAAAAAATAGAGGAATGAATTATCTTGGTGAGAAATTCTGTTGAAAGAGATACGGAAGGTTGATTTAGTTTTATCACACATTAGAATCGTATAATAAAGTCAAGTAATCGTTAGAAACTTGTCGAAAGTCATTCCTTGTCTAATCGCACTGAAGCAGTATGTTATAAATATCTATCACAAGTTTGAATTGCTCAACTATATCTCATTTTTCTTAGAACGGAAATTAAATAACAAGAAATCTATCAAGATAAAAAAAGATAAACTGTAGCAAATGATTTACTATTTTCTAATTAACTATGAAAAAAATAATTTTCTATGATTTTATCCCGAAGAAGTTACCTATACTCTCACTTTTTATAACCATATAAATATCATTTACAGAACAAACGTGTTTTATATGAACATGTAAAATCAGATGTCAATGAGGAAATAATATTAAAAAAAAAGCTACAAAAAATATTTTTGTTAATCTCTATCAATAAAAACAAGCACATGCTAGTATTTTTCTCAACATCTATCATATTTATATGTTAGATACTTGAAGTGTTCAAAACTAAACGCATAGAAATTTTCATATAGAATACTAAGAAAAAATATGGAATTACTTTGTATATATACACATATTATCTATGAAACAAAAATTTTACCAAATTAAATAATTTTGATCATTATTCATCCTTCTATATTACTAAATACGGTATTCGTAGCATGAGACGGACCATTAAAAAAATGAAACTTAATTCTTATCTTCAAAAAGTGTGTTCTTCTTTTTATTATTGTTTGACCGATGTAATGCACATGATACTATTATTCATTGATAAAAATATTTACTTTTGTTGCGATTGCGCATGCGCTGGCAAAAAAAGACGTAACAACATGAATAGTAAATACACATGGTATATTCATACTAATGCTTGTATTTTCAGTGCGAAGCTACAGGCTCGATATTAATCTAAATATTTAACACGGTGATAACTAAACATCTATTCGCATCAATCTTCTAAAAAAATATGAATTCAAGTTTTGCTAAGAAAAAGAAAGATATGTGTTAGTTCCGAGGAGTTTCATTCATTGTAATCTATATTATCAAATCACATAAGTACTATGTGGAGAATAATGCTGGTTCTTATAAAATTGAACTTGTATATAATCATTTTTTTTTTCGTTAAATTTCGTGCAACAGCGCCATCTTATATGTACTTTTTGATTGGCAATGAATTTTAGATATGAATTTTACTAAATCGAAAATAAAGAGAGGAAAATGTCTTGACCAACAAATAAAAATAGAAGGACAGATTTCTTTATATATAAAACAAAATATCGAACACTATTTCTTCTAAAAAATTTTGATGACGTTCTTTTCTACACATGAAAAAGATAAATTTTCCGCGAAAAATGGCAAAACATTGTTATTTATTTCGTTATTGGTGTTTCAAATTTCACAATTTACATGAAAAGTAAAATGAAAAACCTTCTTTTCTCCAATGAAATTATTACGAGAAACTCTTTTTTCTTTCATTAGATACTGAGTTCTCAAATGGAAAATTTATGGTTTGCTATTTTATGACTTCAGTTTTTCGATAATTGAGTGATGATAAAAATCTCTTTTATCGACAAATAATTTTAATTAAACGAAATTATCATTTGAGAACAAAAGCTAGCGGGAATAATACATATGTTTTGAAATGAGTATTATATTTAAGATTTTTTATTGATTCCGGTAATATGAACTGAAATTTCGGAAGAATTAATCACTCCTGCAATACGAGTTAATCATAGTAATGATGATATTTTTTCTCAATATGACATGAGAATCGAACCAAATGATGTAAAACGGTAGTAGTCATCCTTTCACTTGTAATATTTACTTCCTATTTTCACCTGACGTTATATGATTCACTGTTATTTTTATTGTCAAATCGGAAAAAGCCATCAATTATTCTTCGATATATTTACTTAAAAAAAATGTTCTTCATGTTTTATTAAAATATTAGTAAACTATTTGATTTTATTTTATTGAAAAAGAAATTTTTTTTAGATTATATTTTTTGTTTGAGTATGACAGCCAATCCAAAACCATTATTAATTGTTGCTAAATGTGCCTTATGTTCAACTAAAACGGAACTATTTGTGTGTCCACATTGTGATGAAGTTATATGTCAAATATGTGTTAATAAACATCGATCAGAATTAAATGAAACACTTAAAGAACACTGGTTAAAATGTAAAACAAAATTTCAGAATTTATGTCATCTAACAAGTAAAACTTTCTATTAAAACTATTTTATATAAAACTCGTTTTTTTTGTTCTCGTTTTAAGATACATATGATAAAGATTTCGTTGTTGTTGAGAATGAAGTTGATCGAATACGACAAATGATTGAGCAACGTTATTTAGATTTTGTTCAATTAATTGATAGTGAAAAGAATACTTTATTAATAAAAATAGAAGACTATATTAGATCAACAACATCAAAGTAATTATGTAATTAATAGATATATGTATATAATATAACGAAATTTTTTTTTATATTTAATCTTAGTGTTAAACATGCCGATATTCAACAATTATTTAAATCAGTTAATCAACGACTTGAAGAGATTTTTCAGTAAGAATTTGTTTTTTGCTATACGAATTTTTCATTTTATAATATTTTTGATATGAATAGAGGTTCAAATACGTCATACAATGCAGATGATTTTCTTTTGGAAATAGAACATTTAAATATGCAGATTAATAATCGAGAGAAACTAATACAACATGATACATTTAAAGTATGTAGTCGAGGACAGTGTTTTATCTAGATTTTTCTTTCCGAGAGTGCGATAGCGATTTCCGGAAGGGCAAAATTGGTCTCGGGGAGGGCGCCGCCATCCTTGCCCTCCTTCTAGATAAATCACTGATCGAGGAGTTAAATTTATCTGAGAATCATCTACAAATAACAGTTTTTTTTCTCTTTGTACATATTCAGTTAGATCTATTTTGTTTTATAGAAATATGTATTTCTAGTATCCTTATTTAACCCCTTCAAAATCATTAATCATATCCAATGTATTCGGTGAATTACAATGGAATTCTAAACCAATGACAAATCGTGATTTATCTCGACCTTCAACTACTACAATAAATGGACATACTTCTAATACTAATAATGATAGAATACAAGATGAATCGTTAAGTATATCAGAAGATGATATAATATCAACACCTGTCATGCGAAAACAAAAACAATGGTCAACTGATGCTTCAGGTGTACCACATTTTTTATGTATACTTTCAAAAAAAAATTATCTTCTTTTTGCCTGTGATAAATATGGTTGTATTGATTTATATCAACTTGATGGAAATGATCCAAGTAATACACCACGTCATTTACGTCAATTTGATTTATTTCCTGGTAATAGTACCAGTCAAAAACCACAAATTATCGAAGCTTTTACTGTTTATACACCATTTATTGTTGTTTCCGCTCGTAAGAAACAAAACAAAAATAAAACTTAATAATTTTGTTAAATTAAGATTTAAGTGATCAAACAGATACAAGTTCAGTTTATTTTTTTGATCATCGTGGTAGTCAACAAGCTGATACTTGTTTACAAAATTTTCCTGTTCGACAACTTTCAGCTGATATTGGTTTTAAATGTTTATGGGGTGTTGATCGTCATCAACATTCAGGTATAGAAAAGATCGAAACGCTTATCGCATTGTTTATGATTATTTTTAGTTTATTATAATCAACTACCAATGAATGTTAGTCAAATTCAACAATCAATTGAACACCGTGAAGATTTTATTAAATTTGGACGAGATTTTGAACCTATTAGGTACGAAAAAAAAGATTTAATTATATAATTAACTACAATTAAAATTTACTATTATAGAATAACACAAAATCAAACATCAATTGCAGTTGTTGAACGTAATTCTCAAAGTGTACACATATTTGATAAACAAACAAAAGAACAAATTGATGAAATACAAAATCTTTTACGTACAGAAGGAACATTTCGTCTATGGAATGTTTTAGTAAATTTAATTCTCCTTTTCCTATAAAATAAAAAACGATAATTTTATTTTAGCTTCGTGATGATAATTCAATGGTACTTAAATTAGATGAAGATTTACCTCCATATAGTCGTCCACAAACAATTCATCATCTTATTGTTGAATTAGATTCAAATGGTATACCAATAGCACAAATAGAACGTACTGCTGTTTATGGTCTTACTATTGGACCAAATCAAGAAATATTACTTGGTTGTAAACGACATCAACAGAATGGTTCAATTGAATGTTATATCTAGATTAAATAAATTATTTTTTTCATATATAGTGATCATATATGATTTGAAATTAAGCAATGTTGTTGTTTTTTTCGAACAGTTTTTTTTTAATAAGATCTCTATCGATTGTATTTTGGTTTTTGGTCAGATTTAACATTGAACGTTTTGTTATATGAAGAAAATAACAGAATATATAATATGTCTCACATATATTATTTTATTCTATTTTTTGTTTTGTTTTGTTTTATTTCCCTTTATTCTTCCAAAACGATATTGCACTTATTTAAGAATGAACTCAATACGTATTTTAGATGTATAAAAATTTCTAACATTATTTTCTTCTAAAACTATGATCAATACAAATCTTATTACATGTACGCTTTGTCGTAGTTATTTTGCTGATCCTCGTCAGGTAAATTGAATAATTTCTATAAGAAAAAAATAATATTTTCTTTAACTATTTGTAGATACCTTGTTCACATTCATTTTGTTTTGATTGTATATCAGGTCGTTTCGATGATGATACATTATTATTAGTTTGTCCAAAATGTGAAAAACTTCATCAATATAATTCACGTGAGGAATTTGAGAATCGTTGTATGCGTGATGGATTTCTTGCATCAATGGTAGCACAATTTAAAAAAAATCAAAGTCGATCAGCGGCTATATCATCAGGACTTCTATCTCGACCAACATCATCTATGTCACAAATAGCACCAATTCATAGATTTACACCAATACGTATGTTATCTCAAGATATTAATTTAAGTTATGAACAATCATATTCCGAACGTTCAACACCATCAATTTATAATCAACAGAGATCATCATCCGTTTTACCACAAGCAACAAATCGTATATTTAGAGCTAAATGTCAATCATGTAATATAAAAGATGAATTAATTATATGTACTCATTGCGACAATGTCATTTGTTTTAAATGTGCTGATGAACATAAACGTATTATTAATAATGATGTTAAACGTGAATGGAAACTATGTAAAACAAAATTTGATATAATTCATGAACGATCAAGTAAAAATTTATTTACAAAAAATATACATATATATTCTTTTAAATCGACACTTTTAGTGCATTTTGAGGCTGATCAAGAAGTATGTGAGTGTAAAGCACGTGAATTGCAAGTATCAATTGATCATCAAAGCGAGAAATTAATTCAAACAGTAAATAATTATAAGAATGCTTATTTTGATTTAATTGAAAAACATCTACGAACATATAAACAATTGTAAATTAAATTATATTAGAGGAAATATTTTTTTTGTATAATTTTCTTTTTAGGTTTGCACATGAACAAGTTATGGATGAGTATGAATCAATTGATGAACGTGTTAATAATTTACTAAGGTATATTAGTATTGAATGATATTTATCTTTTATTTATTAAGTTTTGTTTAGATCTACGGATATAACTGCTGAAAAAATAGGAGATTTTTCATTTGAAATCGAACATCTTGAAAGTCGATTAGATAATTTAAATAAACTTCTAGATTCAAATGAATTAAAAGTACTAATCATTATTCTTTTACTTAATCAATGATATATCTATATCTATTTAGTTTCCCGTACTTACATTACCTGAACAAATTGATATATCATCACTTTTTGGTACATTAGAATTTATTCCATTAGATTCCGATTCATCACATATCGATGATTTACCATATAAACCTGATCATGATGATTATATATTTATTGAACCATTACAAAATAAATCAAATAAAATTGATCAACTTTTAACACCATTACCTATTCCATTAGCACCAAAAAAGAAACTTCTATGGCAACTTGACTATAAATCCGTACCGTATTATGTTCGTACATATAATCATCAATTATTTGTTTGTGATAAATACGGTTCGAATATTATTTTCTTAATAAAAAATACCTTTTTTTCTTTGACTTTTAGGCTATTTATCCATATATAAATTAAATAAACCAAATGATTTTCGAACTAAACCAGTATTTGTACGAGAAATAAAATTATTTAATGATAATCCAATATCAACATCCGATGAAGATCAAACAATAATCGATTCATTTGTTGTTTATAAATTATGGATTATTGTTTTTAAACGTAAAAAAAATGAATTAAATGGTACAATCTATTTATTTACACATGATGGTAAACCTGTACCGAATGGTAAATATATGCATAATCATCCATCACGTGAATTTACAATTGATATTGAAACAAATATTTTATGGTCACTTGATCAAAAACAACTTTGTCTTTTTTATTATCAATTACCTGATCAAATAAAATTATCATCGAATTCAATTGAAGATTATTTTCAAAATCGTTATTCACATGTACAATTTTCAAAACCATTTGCACCTAAACATATATCTGTTAATAAAAATGTTTTAGCTGTCTTAGATAAAAATCGACAAGCTGTACATGTTTATGATAAACAAACTAGACAAGAATTATATGAACATGTAAATAATTATAATTATACAACACATTTTTGTTGGGATATGGCATTATTTTCTAATAATAGTTTACTTATTAAACTTGATGAAACGAGTACATTAAAAACAGGACCATCAAAACATATTTATTTACAACTTGATACAACAAATCAACGTAATGTTATTGGAATAATTGAAGAAATTGATGCATATGGAATGATAATAACAACAACAGATGAAATTCTTATTGGTGTTAGAATAAATACCAAAGGAACAGTGAAATGTTATGCTTAGAGAATGCTTTTTTTTTAATTTATTTATTTTATTGGCTTTTTTTTTGTTATATCAACAGATGATTTTTTAGAAATGTTTAAGAGAGAGAAGAAAAAACGTTTATTTTGTAAGTTTAAAATATAAAACGATGCAATAAATGAAATTCTTATCATTTGGTAAATAAGATTTTTCTTTAGATTTGACGAGTGTGTGCACAAGAAATTGTAGGATATTGTACGCGAAAGATGAGATTAATATTTGTACATATAAAAAGATGTTTACCTATGATAATCAAACTTTTATTCCATTTATTGGTTTAAAGAATACTAAATAATAATCTAATAGATTTTTATCGATTGGCTATAGTACAAATTTTCGTATTTTTACGAGGGAACACACACAACTGTCGGACGCCATGCAAGTCCATATTTTGGCTACAAGTAAGATTGAGTGAGGCTAAGAAAACCGGTTCTTGCCCACTCTCTAAAAACAAGAGTATTACTGAACTCTCAAAAAAGATTCTGTAGATGACTAAAAGCGTCCAAATGTGCAGAACCCTTTAAGGTTCTGAGTTGTGTATCCGCATGCTGAACCTTCTCTTCCTGAAACATTTTTTTAGTTCCGTACAGCAAAAGAGTTCCGTAAGAAAATATGAAACCTCTGAAGGTTTTATATTAAATCTTCTGGAACCCTAATGGTTTTGTACTGAATCCTATTAGTTTGCGCAGGATTTAATATGAACCCTCAAAGATTTCGTATTTTCCTACGGAACTAAAAAACTAGTTCAGGAAGAGAAGGTTCAGCTCGCGAATACACAATTCAGAACCTTAAAAGGTTCTGCACATTTGATGATCTGTTTTTTGAAACTTTTGACACATTTGGAAGCTTTTAGTCATCCACAGAATCTTTTTTCAGAGTTCGGTAATACTCTTTTTTTTGGACATCATGGCGTGTTCCAAATGAGATATAAAGGTTTTAGTGAATTTTCGCTATAGCACCCAACTTTTGCATCAAAATTATACTTTCGAATTTTGCCCACATAAAGATCTCAGCTAGACCAACTTAAGTAAAAAATTTCAGGAGTTTTGAATAAAGTCTTTTCGAGATACCAAGGTTTCAAAAAATGCATGCCATATATACCATCTATGAAAAAGAGCCTGGGTTAAAAATGGGATGCTATAGCAAAAATTCACTAAAAACTTGATATCTCATTTGAAACACGCCATGGACACGAACCCTTTTACTGTTTTTTTTAGTCTCACTGAGTCCTACTTGTAGTCAAACTGTGAGCATGAATAGCATCCGACGTTCTTAAAGTAATGGTGACTAATATTATAAAAAAACCACTTCTTAAAACAGCAACTAGAACTTGTCAGTTAGTGATGACTATTTTTATGAAAAATTGTTCTTTAGATCTGAGATTATTCATAATTAAAAATTTTATTATTGTTATATTAATTAATAATTGTTAAAAATTATCCATTGCATATTTTTAAAAACTAACTGTTTACAGTTTTATCTTTTAATAACGATTTATACAGTTTATTATTGAAAACAAAGAGCAAAATTAAATATTATCATTCAGTTATCGGATTTGTTATCGCATTTCGAACTTCAACAAAAAGTTTATCCCAATCCCATGGTTTATTTTCCTATAAAACAAATAAATATATATCTTAGATATATTCAAAATAAAATAAAACTAATTTTACTTCAGTATCAAATTCTTCTTGTAAATTAAGATGATGATATAAAATACCAATATCAACTTTTGAATCCTATGAAAGGAAAATTAAATTCGAAATAAAATATTTTTTTAATTATCCTTACAATATATTGACTAGCACGTGTACGAGAAAATTCTTTTTCAATTTCTTTAAATGTAGCTATTTGATGAACAGAAAAGCTAAGAAATAGATTGTAAGTATTCATACATATATACAATCAATTTAATATTATTTTACTCAGGAGCAACGGCTACATCCGGAGCCATATCAATATTATCATCACCATCAGCATCATCCATTGGAATTGTTGGAATATCTATATGATTTACATACATATATTATAACTATTAATATTTTATTAGAAAAATTACCAGTTGCAATAATTTCTTCGGCAGCACGATGAGTAGTTCGTCGCATTATTGGTGGTGCAGTTACATTACCTCTAGAATTAATTCATATAATAATAAAAACAAATCTATTGCAGTATTAATTTACGCATTATCATCTTCATTATCAACATCATTTGACCAACCACTTGGTGCTTCATTAGTAGGTTTTTGTATTGGTTTTTGTTTTTGTTTTTGTTTCGTAGATCCTGCACGACTAGCTGCCTAAAAATTCAAACTCATGATAAATAATACATGTAAGATTAATTTTAGTACCTTTGATACACTTTCAAGCATAGCATCAAATGTATCATCGATTGGTTCATCGAGTGCTGCTTTAGATTTTTTTCGTGACTAATGAATAAAAAAATCAGTAAATTCTTTATAGAAGAAAAATGAATCAAAATATACTTTTGTTTTAGGTTGTTCATCACCAAGCCAATCTTCAGTCGACATTCTTTTTATTTATTTATCTAGAAATATATTAAACGTAATACGAAAAAGTCCTAAGATTTTTATTGGAAGAAATAATCTACAGTAAATAAGTCTACACAAAGAAATCAAACTCTCTATCTGACTTATACAATTCATTTTCATTCCTAGTCTGAATTAAGCATAGCCAAGAATTCGTCAAAATTAACTAAAAAAAAAATAATTTATTTAATTCAAAAATTAAGTCAATATTCTTACTTTCACCATCACCATCTAAATCAAATTCATCAATCATCGCTTTAAGTTCTTCTTCATTAACATTGTCATCAAGTTCTCTAAAAAAAATCAATCGATGAATGCAATATTAATATATATATATTTACCGTGCAACACGTCGTAATTTTTTCAATGAAATTTTCCCTGCTTCATCATCATCAAATAATTTAAATGCTTTGAGGACTTCATCACGTGAATCACGTTGAAGCATCATTTCAGCAGCTATAGAAATAATAATTCATATATATTTTTTTAATTAAATAGACAAAATACATACCAACTTCATGAAAATCTTGATACGTTATTTTATTTTTACCTTGTCGATCATAATCACGCATTAATTTTTGAGCTTCTGCTTTATGAATATCAAAACCTAATGCTCGAAGACCAACCTAATTGACATACGAATTAAATTAAATGAAAGCACAATTGATGAAATATATCTACTTTAAATTCATGATAATCAAGTTCATTATCTTTATCATTATCAAATAATTCAAATGCTTCTTTAATTTCATCATTTTCTTCTTCAGTCAATTCACGTCGTCGACCTTTTGATGGTTTCATTAATTTAGGAAATGTCGGACTGGCAAAACTAAAACAAACAAATCAATTCTATAAGAAAACAAAACAAAAAAATAAAAACTTACTTTCTTTCCATAATCGATTAATTTCTGTAAATATGAAATGAACAAACTTAGTGACCATACAAGAAAAAATACCTGAGCGACAGCCTCTTTCTTCAAATTTAATTCCGTATGTTTGATTGGTTTAAATTTAACGTATTGGTTTAATGATATTTCTATATAAAATAATCTTCATTTATTAATTGTTCATTATAAAAATGATTTATTTTACAACAAAAATCTTATTTTCATGCAGAGAATATAGAAATGTTATCTTATGTTCATATCATTAAATAGATTTTGTTGCGCAAACTTTATTCAATAAAATCTATTGATAGATAAATCGAATAGAACACTATAAAGGATGGCAGTAGCGGCGGCGCCAGGAATTTAGACTAGGGTGGGCTCAGGCCGAATGAATTTTATAGAGGTTGGGCTCAGACCTAATGAGTTTTAAATAGGGTGGGCTCAGATAGAATATCATTGATTTTTTTAAGATCTGAAAAAAATTTCAGGGTAGGTTCAGCCCACCCTTGGCGCCGCCACTAGATGACAGATATCAAAACAAGCTTGTTAAAATTAACAATCTACATGTCTTCGTCATGGAAGGTTTCTAGAACATAATAAAAGTATTTCGTATTAAATACATAGTTGAAAACAGACAAGATGATACGAAATCTTTTCATATGGTTGATATACTAAATAGATATTTCATGTTTGTATTATCTCGTGTCTAATATTATCGGTATATAGATAAAATCGATACTGTGCATTTTATTTTCGATATATCAGTTTTTGATAGAAATGCCCATCACTGACATCTGTTTTATCACGATTCGTAATTGGTTCTTTATTATTTGGAATGCTTCTGTTTTAAAAAAAATTGATGTCAATTGTCAGTAGACTGATCATTATTCAATAAGAAAGAAAAATTTAATTTTTTTATATGGATTTAAATGGACCTACTAGCGGTACACATTATCGTACCATACATCATCAGCATGATGAAGTACGTCTGATTGATTATGCACGTTTATGTGAACATTTATCTTCGCGAAAAATAATTCTTCTTCAATTATTTCGTACTGCATTTCGTCGTCTTGTAAATATATAAAATTCTTAATAAAAATTATTTTCTATGAATTAATATCTTAGAATCAACGTATTATACCTGGAAAGGAAGATGAAACAATACGTAATACATCAGCGGAATTTATTTATACAGAAGATGTTCTTCTTCCATCTTTATTATTATTTCTTACGCGAGTAAAATATTTATATATTAAATTTTAATCAATATTTATTTTTATTCAATAGAATTTCGAATGGGAATTACCAAATCTTATTCAACATTTAACAAAAATCTATCCTGATAATGATATTGTTACTGAATATTCTCAAAAGTATATATTTATTCTTATTATTCTTTCTTTTGAACGATTTAATTATTTAGTATTACAAAACTAGGACAAGCAACATTAGTTGATATAATTGATTTATTTCATGATTTAACAAAATTTATTCAAAAACGTGGTGAATCAAATTTTACGAATAATGAAAATCAACCAGGACATCAAACTGACAAAGTACATTATACAATTAAAGGCTGGAGTCTTGTTGGTATGATAGAAATCAATTTAATAACACTGAACATCTTATATATCTTCAGGTCTTTTTCTTCGTCGTCATATTTGTTCATTTGAAATGTTATCAACACCGAAATTAGAGGAACTTGTTAATAATGTTAGTCGATATGTTAATTCTTATTTACAATCATCCATATTTAAATGTCCATTACCACCGAAAGATGATCGAATGATAATTGAATCAGGATCAATAACTGAAACTAAAAAAAATATTTCAATTCGAGAATTAAGATTACAAACAAAACAATAGTAAATAATTATTGATAAATTTTATTTCTTAGAAAATTTTTCTTTTTAAAGTTCATCATCTGAAATTACAATACCTATATCAATTAAACAAGCTGAATATATGTTAACTAAATTAGCATTACGTTTAGATACAGGAATTTTAGTTGATGATTATGAATTAGAAATTCTTCGATCAATTGAAAAAATCTATCCACAATTAGCTGAAGTTGTATGTAGATTATTTCGAGATAATTCCATCGTTTTACTTATCTTTTTCTTTTGATAGCCATTTGTTCATTATTTACAAGCACGTTCGAAAAATAATTATTCTCAAGCAAATTATCATTTACATCATTATTTTGATAAACAAAACGGTTTTCAATTAACATCTGATATTGGTGCATTACATATGTCAACACTTTTATCACATTATAATTTTAAGTAAGAAATTTGTTTATTTCGATTAAAATACGAATTTTTATTTTTTTTTAGAGTTGATGCAAAAAATGCTTTAAGTGATGGAATGTCAATGTCGCTATTAAGATCAGAAAAGGATATTATGCCATTATGTGTGGTAAGTTTATGGAGTTTTTAAAAGAATTCATCTGAATTTTCTTTTTGGTGTTTTTCTAGGATCAATTAATTTCTTCAACATTAAATACTTCACAAAAAGTTGATAATCTCTTATTACTTGATAATCGATATCTGAAACAACTTGATAATCCATCAGTAGGATTCTTAACTACGGTAATAGATTTTTTTTAATGTAAAAAAACGAATAAATAAATAATAAATATATATTTGATTGAATAGGATGATTGTGTTTGTGTTGAAAGTTGGCCATCAGTACAATTAATGAGTCGAGGAAATCTTCCAGCTGTATTGTATGTTTACATTTTATTATTTGTTTGTATATTTCATGAATAAATAATTTTAGACAACGAATTGATATAGATTTTGAACGAACTGATGTTAAATCACGTTTCAATTGGGTTAATCGTGCTGCTATACATTATTTAAATAAAACAGCCTTTTGGAATTTAGCTCAATATAAGTAAGAATACAACTGATTGCTTAATGAAAATAAAAATAATTCATTTATATTTTAGTGATTTCGTTCTACTCTATTCTTCGATGGTGCTTGATAATAGTGAACATTTACATTGCCGTCATACAGATTATTATGCATTAGCATGTTCTTATCTATCAATGGCTATACTGAATCAGGTATAAATAATAAGAATACTATTAATTAGAAACATTAGTTGAGAGTTCTGTTGTATTGAACAAGAAAGCTTAGCATAGTTAGACATTGCTTCAAGAATAGAATTCTGATAGCATAAAGGGGATTCTTGAATTTCGCCAATAAGATTTTTGCCACTGTCATTATGTGATTACATATATATAAAAACAGTCCGTAATAACTATATTGAGGGGTTTAGACTATAATATGCTTATTCTGATAATATTAGGTTAATTTGTAATATACATTTTACACTAACCTTGTGCTATTACAATTGGCGAAACTCCACTGGACTTAAGCCTGATCGCGCCTGAACTTTCGCCAATTGGCGAATGTCCTATTGGCGAAATTCTTAGAATCGATAATCTTCTTATTATTCTCTACGTCTATGAGTAAACTAAAAACAATTAGAGAATTAATAATCAATCTTACATATCGATCTAAACCGAGACTTTTATATTAACAGGGTCAATACAATCTTGCAAGTCAAATGTTAAATAAAAGTATTGATTTAGTTCAATTATCAACGAATGCACATAATTTAATTGATATGGCACGTGCGGATGTACAATTTGTACTTCAATGTAGACGAAATGAATGGGATAGAGCATTAATAACTGCTAAAACATTTTCCAATTATTCCCAAGTTGAATATGAAATACGGTAAAAAGAATTGTTAATTTATTACAATAACAAAAACGATTGAATCTATTCTTTTAATTCATAATTAGTCGAGCGATATGTTTGCACAATTTAAATGAACTTGATGATAGTCAACGAGATCCAATTGAATTACAAAAATTATTAAATCATGAAAAAGTATCTGATCTTATTTCAAGAATAAAGTAAATTAATTCTTATATTTTATTAATTGTAAACAATGAATCTTTTTTCTTTTTAAAGACTTTTATTATTATTAACAGAAAACTGTGCAAAAAAAAATGATGTTGTACCAAGTCTTGGATTTCTTGAAGAATGTAAACAATTATGCATCAAATATAATTTACAACATTATTTAATTCTCTGTCGTTTGTATGAAGTTCAATTGAATAAAGTATGTTAGATAATTCAACATATTTTGATTAGAAAATTTCTTTTTTTTTCCTAGTCAACTTCAACAACATCACAAGAATCCATTCGAATACTTAATTTTTGTCTTAGTGAACTTTTAAAATATGGAGATCAATATAATGTAGCTCGATGTGCGTTATTACTTGGTCGATTGTTACTATTAGAAATGACTGAAGAACGAATTTGTCCAAATAGTAAGTTATGAAAATTATATTGATCAATAGCTCAGTAAAGAAAGACAGCAAATTCTAGTAAAATTAATTTCGAAGTACCTGATTACTATGTGAAATTTGATCAGATCTGTGTCTAAAGACAAGACATCATACAATAAACTGTTAATTATATTTATTTTAGATTTATCTGAAGCTGAACATTTACTTCTATTGGCTAAAGATATATTTACTTGTTTCCACGAAACTCTCTATTTAAAATTAACATATCTTTATCTCGTAAATATTTTTCATTTTAAAATAGAAGAAATCAAAAAAATAGAAATATTTATTTTTATTTTAGATATTTACATATCATGATTCAATTCAAGTTGAAAAACGCAAGCAAATGACTAAATTATACAAGCAAATAGATATTAAATTAGACACTAAACCTATTGTAATTTAAAAACTTAATGTCAGATAGACAATATAAATATTTCTCTTTTCTTTATTTTCACAACTGAACAGAGAAAGAGAAAAAAATAAATGAATATAAGTTAATCTATATACATGAAATTAATGAATTGATAATGCTGCTGGTAATTTAATTCCTCTACCAATTGTTTGTGAAGCTTCTAGAACACATTTCGATAATTGTGATACATCTGCAACACGTGCATGTACCATTGCAACATAACTTTTATTATCATTATGTTTAATCATAAGTCTTCGTGCAAGATAATCATCAATTAATGAAACAGATCCAACACGTACATAATCAATTTGTGATGGAAGATAAACTTCAATTGTTAAACGTAATGATTCATATGATAAGAGTTCATATGATGGAGAAAGACATACACGTATTGGTAAATTTAAACGATAATATAAATTTGTTATTATAGCTGCTAATTGTATAAAAATAAAATCAATAGAATTTGATTTTAAATTGATTTCATTTGGATTTAATGTTGGTGAATATTGAATTGATTTTCTAAGCATTTCTTCGAAATTTTTTGATCGTTCATCATCAGATCTCTGATGATCATCAACAAGTAAATGCTGAGAACGTTCACTGGAGAATGCTAGATAAGAAAAATTTCATTATACATTATCTTAATCATATAAAAATCAAAGATGTAACCTAATATAAAAAAAGCTATATAGGTAGCTACATGAAGGTTCTGAAAATATCTCGAAGATAATGAAAGTATCCGAGAACTTTTGCTCGAGTCAAGTATTTATGAACATTGTTTTGAAATTTTTCTATGATGATTCAAATTCTCTAGTTTTAAAATAATTGTGTTTAGGGTTGGTAGCAATTTTTTATGAGGTAATAGAGAATGACTGAACTAGAATATTCAGGTAACATGTGAATAGTGGCGTAACCAGAATTTTGGCCGAGGTTTGGTGACAGTGAGCGATGCCTGGAGGGCACACAATAAAATTTGGCTTACAAAGCTAAAATGAGTGGTTGGGTGGCGCCCGACTAAGCCCGACCCTGGTTATGCCACTAGACGTGAAGTTAACTGAAAGCATGATTCATTTCTTCGATGAAACCTTTATCATTAATACCAACGAAGGATAACTCACAAAAAGCAATCCAATATAAGATTACTTCTTACTAGTTGTTTTTAAAGAATACTATACTCTTACCGAGTAATTCAATACAAGATGATTGTCCGATATGAGGACTATAATTTCGTCCAATTGAATATACATAATATGGTAGAGCATTTGATAGAAAATTTGTACGTATAAAAGGTGATACTATTCCAAGTGGTGTTGATGTTCCAAATAGATGTAAAAGTTCTACACTATTTTCATCATCCGCATCATGTTCAACTAATTAAAAACAAACGAAATTTTGTTAAATTTCTTTCTATTTGTTTTTTGTTTACTTACCAACAATATTAAATACATTTTTAATATCCGAAAAATGGTAACCAAATGCTTCAATTACGAATGATTTAACAACATTAACAGCTGCACAAAATTGCATGTTATATGTATCGAGACTTTTATTAAAATAATTCAATAAAATATATTCTAACTGAGCACTAAAATTAATCAATTTGAAAAAACAAATGTTAGTCTCTTATTAACTTACAATTCACCAAATGCAAATGATGAAAATGGTGCAGCATCAATTGATGTAACTTCTGCTAAATCACGCCATGATCTCATAGTTAAACTTGATTTTCTTTGACTACCATATTCAAATAATAATTTTGGTATACTTGATTGAGGTACAGCTGTATGTAATGGAGCTGGTAATCGTAAACATGCAACAAGAAATTTTGCATTTAAAGAATATAATTGTTCACCCAATTGACGTAATTCTTCTGGCTAAATGTACAAAATAAATCTTGGATATGAGTGTGAGTATAGGTTAGGCGCTGTTAGCTTCTTCGTCCACACCCACACCCAAAATTTCAGTAAAATGTCTATAACTTTGAACAGAAAGACTATGGACACTTTTCATACTTTACTAAGTTCTACCTTATGCACAGAGTCTGAACTTAAATCTATTCTAAACTTAATCAATTTTATATACTTGAGATTGTCGTTTTGCTGTTGCTTCAGCTATTTGTCTATTTAATTTTTTCCAAAGTTGATAATCATGTTCAACTTTTTTAACATCTACAATCCAATGTCTTCTTTGAAGATTGTCTTGTAATTGTTCATGACTTTTGAATAATAATTCTAAATCAATATCGGGTTCAACAACAGTAGGAAATGGAGTATGTAGACCACCGGGTAATAAAGCCGAACGTTCTTTATATTGTGGAATACGTTCAGCAATTAATGTACGACGAATTTCATGTAGAAAAAACCGTGTTTGTCGACGAATAATTATCATATCTAAAAATATGTTGTTTTTTTTAGATATTGACATAGAAACAATTCAATAAATATTCTCAGATAGAAATTATATGTCTAAACTATCGATTAAGATTGATAAGGATAAAAATAATTTACAATTACGAGACAACATTGAATATTAACTTTTCTTTTTTTGATTGGTTTTCTAATAATAATATTTTTAAATTCACAAATCGAAGGCAAAAAAGGAATTACATACTTTGTTTGTAATATGTATTATAAATAAACATATATTGCTCAAAAACAAAATTACAGATCTCGTTTTTTTTTTGTTGCTAATACTAACAAAAAAAGGCCATTTTGTTGTTACAGAATATACACTTCGAAAAAAATGAATAAACCAAGATATTGAGAAGAAGAAGAAGAAAAAAGTTATACTAAATGCACAGAAATATAGACTATACAAAAAAAGAAGAGAATTAATCAATTTTTCGACGTTTTATATTTTTGTTTATTTGAGGAAGTAATTCATTATTATATTTTTCTGTATTTATTCGATTTGATGTCTCATCATATGTTTGTACAAATTGATCAAATCGTTGTAATAATGTATCATTATCTTTTCGTATTTCAAGTAAAAGTTGCTCAGTTTCTTGATTTTTCTTTTCAAGATATTTTAAACGTCGATGATGATTTATTAAAGATTTTGTACGTGTATATAATAATTGTTTATAATGTTTCATTTGATATTTTTGAGATTTAACAATAAGATTTTGTTTATAGATTCGATTGTTTAACGTACTTATTTGCCGACGAAGTAAAACATTCGTTGATCGTTTATAATGATGACATACAAATGTATTACTATTAGTAGTAGTAGTAGTATTTGATGAAAATGTTGATAAATTATTACGAAGATTAGTTAATGAAGCAAAACGTGTTTGTTGTAATTTTGGTTCAATATGTTCACGAAAATGTTCAATTGCCATTGATGACATATCACGTGTTTCTTGTAAAAGTGTACGTGGATTTGTAAATGATTGCTGTGTTTTTAAATGATTTAGTACGGAATAGATTTCATCAAGTAACTAAAATAATTCAAAAAAATAGAAAATAATAGAATTAATTAAAAATAAATTTTCTTACTCGACCCGGATAAAAGCAACAGAGTGAATTTTGTATTGATGAACCAAATGTTAATTTCAGCCATTGAATACGAGAATCAAGCGAAGAAATTATATCAAATTTTGTTGATAGAGGATGCTAAATAAAAAATACTAATCCATGAAAAAGTCTTTATCACAGAGTTATACATATTATCCATGTATTTTGAATTCATTTCATAAAAAAAGTCACAGTAGAAGAACACTATAGTTTTCAAGTGGAAGTGACTTAAACTTATGGAAGCCTGTTACAATGTTCACGATCTAATAGCTTCTATTCAAGTTCAGATTATGGGGTTAACTAATAGGTTTAGACACTATTGATCCTTTCCACAATGATTCAAGTATTACTCGAAACTGAGTGCATAAAAATATCATCAACTTTGTTTTCAACCATCTATAATCGTCAACTGTTAAATCATTTATTTCATTATATCAAACCACCCAATGTTATATCTAAGTTTCGTTTTTCGGATGGGCGAATCAAAGTGCAGGGTGGGCGGCGCCCATTCAGTCCATCCGTTGTATAAAATCCTAGTTAAAGTACCCCTATGCAACTTTCAAATTCAATGCTTGGATTCAATGAAAAATCAAGTAGAACATATAGCTAATACTACATCTACATCAGTCCATTAGAGACCAACTGACTTTACAATCCCGAAATAAATTCAACTATTTCTATCAATAGCAAAACTTCCATTATAGAAGGGATATAGGTTTTATAATCAACTACAGACAAAGAAAGATTTTTTCTTACTTACTTTATGTCTTTCCGATTCTCTTCGTGGTAGTTTTGTTTTAATTTGTTTCTGTAAATCATGAACAATTATTTCAAGTTGAAAATAACCTCGATTAAGTTGTTCAGTACATAATCGATGAAAATGTTTTGATATTGAACGTAAACGACTTAATTCTGTATAAGAAAATGATTGTAAGATTTTTTCTTGAACAATTATTGGTAAATTTGTCAATATTAATGATACATTTGTTGTCATCTACAAAAAAAATTTTTTGATTAATCATTTATTACTCAAAGATTTCTATCACGAAGAAAAATAATACTAATGTTTTGAAGATTGATGTTATTAGAGAAAAAGAAATGCTTGTATGATATTTGAAAGAAAAAAAATATATAATTTAACAATAACAAAAGTGAAAGACAAACTTTTATCAAGAATTTTGACCAAATGAAGATGATTCACGAATAAATTTGACTACTGTATGATATGTCATAAATGAAACACCAACAGATATAGGTCCTTTAAACCAATTCATAGTAACACCTTTGTATAAACCACTTCTTATACCTTCTTCACGAATTATTTTAAAAGCCGTTACTAATGCACCAAGAGATTTATCTTGTGGACGAACAACAGCAGCAGTTTGTAATCGACGTCGAACAACATCAAATGGATATGACACAGTTTGACCAACAAGACCAGCTATAGCACCAAATAACATTTGTTCTTTTCTATTAAGAGGACGATTTGGATGATAATCTAACAGAAACAAATTCAAAAGAAAATGATCGTTTTGTTTTTATATTTTTTTACCAAAGCGAATATGTTGAAGAGAGTCATATGTAAAAAAGACACAACCAGAATAAGGTAATACACCAATAACTGATGACAATGCACCTCGATATAAGGCAAAAAAACCTTCAGTTCGTAGTATAGTTATAAACACAGTGAATATATTACTATACCTATATAAGACAAAAATATTTATTTTCTGAAGAAAATTTGTATGTTTAATTTTTCAATTTTAAGCATTACGAATGACTCATTACTCAATTAAGATTTCAAAGATCATCATATACGTTGGTTTATTGAGTCGAAACCTTTCTCCTTACTACGTTAAAATTCTTATTCATTTTTCTTGTTAAAGGCTAAAGAGCAAGGTTGAAATACAATATAGTGCATTGCAAAATAAAAGATAATAGTCAAATGTTAGTATCAGTTGGTGGACTTATTGAGACTGATTCTTATAGAGAATAAATTTTCGTAATATATAACATACACTGTTTTATTAGTTACTGCCATACGTGCTCTTGCTAAATCAAGTGGATAAGTAATCGACGATGATGTTAGACCTGCTAAAGAACCAGATATAAATCGACGACCAGGTGTTTTTCTTTCAATAGAAAAAATATGTTCTTTTCATATAAACAAAAAAAATATCTTACTCATATTTATCAGTATTTAATAAACGTTTCCATTGTTCATGAGCTGAAAAATAAATTGCTGTGGAAGGAATAACACGAGCTAGATTTGCTGAGTTTCCTCGATATAAAGCAATAAATCCTTCATTTCGATATGTATCTCTTATAAATTTCAAACAAATGCTATAACTAAATTTATCAGGTCGAACTAAAAATCAAAATTGATCTTTTTTTTTATTTTATTACTTTTAAAACAAATATTTTAACCTTGAAAATTAATTTTCGCTCGATCAAATGGTGCAATTATTGTTTTAGCTGCAGCACCTTTGAAAAATAAATAAAACGTGATCATGATGTATTGATTAATCAATGATAATTACCTGCACAACCGCCAGCAACTAATGAAGTAAGAATCTTCTGAGTATTCGAAAGCTGAATAGAATACAAAGATTAAATAATAATTTTATGATATTTTTGTTTTTCATACAGATTTATTTTCATTCAGATCGTTGTTCATCTTTATAGAAATTAGTTTTCATGTTTTACATTAAAAATAAATTAAATCATCTAGAAAAATATTATTGATTTAATAGATATGTCAATATTGAATAATAAAGTAGAATTTTATATCAATGTCCTTTATGGGTACATCACCTTATTTTCTCCAGGGCATTTGTACGTCAAACAATAACCTTATCAACAGCTAAAAACATAAAAGACAAGATCATAAACTAAGAGCATTGCGTGTATATAAATGTACTTGTACAGTCATAAAATCAAACCACAAAAAAAAACGAAACCAACGATAATGGAAAAGAAATCACGTACAAATACAGTCGAATCATCACCTTTATCTCCACAAGAAGCCGCAGCTACTCTTGATCCATTAGTTCAACCACTAAATGATCACGATGGTTTACCTGTGTATACACGTCGACAATCATCTATTTTTTATATACCAGCTAATAGATTAAATGACTTCGATGATATTAGTATAGATGAAAAAAAATCAAATATTATTAAACAATATTTAGTTTATACGGAACGTTTTTCAGGTATTTTATATGCATTACTTGCATCATTATTATTTTCATGTTCAAATTTTGCATTAATAAAACTCAATATAATTATATTCGATGTACTTGTTATTCGATTTTCTGTATTAGCACTTATTTCACTTGGATTTATTATTTACAAAGGTTATAGTCTATATCCTGATTGTAATGGAATACTCGTAATTATTCGTTCAATATTTGCTGCTGGTGGTAGTATATGTTTTTATCTTGCTATATCTTATTTACCATTACCAGATTTAACAACAGTTCGATATACACAAGTTGTTTGGACTGCATTACTTGCTTTGACTATATTTCGTGAACGAATTACTATACCAACAATTCTAGCAAGTATATTAACACTTGCTGGTGTGATATGTGTTGCACAACCAACATTTCTTTTTCCGCCAACGAAAATATTCAATGAAACTACACAAGAAAGATTAACAAATGATACAACTAAACGTTCAATTGGTATGTTAGTATCTGTATCATGTGCATTAGCAATATCGATGAGTATTGTTTTAAATAAAAAATTAATTCAAAAACAAGTTCGACAAAGTATAATAATGTTGTATTTTTTATCTATAACATCCGTTGTTTTAATAATAATACAAATACATTATTGGAATTTTTCAAAAACAAGAACACAAGAATTTAATTTTCAAAAAATATATTTAACAAAAAATTTTATATTGGCATCATTTATTTCCATATTACAAATATGTCCAATGGTTTTATCACAAAAAGCAATTAAACGTGAACATCCATCTATTGTTACTGTTGTACAATCATCTGATATTATATTTGCTATTCTACTACAGAATATGTTTTCCATTAATAAAACAAATTTAATGGCATTAATTGGATCGATATTAGTCATAGCAAGTATATTTATTGTTGGTGGTCATAAACTTTGGTTAGATAGACAAAATCGTATGTGTATATCAACAACAATACCAGACGATATGATTAAAGTGGAAATAAAAAATTAAATAAATATTATGAGTTTTTATATTATTCTAGCTTAAATTTTTCTAATAATAAATATTCATATCATAAAATGTGAATTATTTTTGTTATATATTAAAATACTAAGAGTGCATGCAGTTAGATTATGACTACTCGCATGATTATAGAAAATACTGAAACAACAGAATAGAGAAGAGAAAAAGAATCATGTACGTCGGCGCACTCTGAAGCCTGAAGAACAACAAGGTCGTTTATTTTGCGTTCAGTAGTATTCGTACAAAGAAAAAGGCGAGAAAAAGAAAAGTACTGCCATCAGAGAGGTTAATCGAAGACAAGAAAAGAAAAGGAAAAAAACTAGAAGAGAAACCAGTTTGCACTATGAAGCACGATGTGTATATCACTGATGATGACGTATCAATTGACAATATAAAACCAGTCACAGATGTTTTGGTTGATGACAATGCTATACAAAATATTGATCCTTTAATACAACCATTAATCGATACAGATGAATTACAAATTAAAAATGAAGTTAATAATAATATTGAAGAATTTAATAATCTTACTGAAAAATCAACATCAATTCTTTCACTTCATTCAATTCGACAAAGTCGAACTAAATCTTTTTCACAAGCAATGGGTCGATGTACTGGGATATTCTATGCACTCATTGGTTCATCTCTTTTTACAAGTTCCGGTTTTATTATAAAACAGTTACGTGTTGACTTTTTTGATGCTTTAATGTGCCGATTTATAATTCAAACAATAATTCTTACTATTTTTATTGTTCATAAGCGTTATAAAATACTTCATGGTTCAGTTAATTTAATTCTTTTACAAATTATTCGTGGAATATTTGCAGCATGTGGTTTGTTATTTTTTTATTTAAGTTATCGTTATATTCCATTACCAGATTTAACAACATTTCGATATACACAAATAATATGGACAGCAATTATAGCGATGATTATTTTTCGTGAACGTATATCGATACCAACAGTAATTGCTATTATATTAACATTTATTGGTGTTATATGTGTTGCTCAACCAACATTTTTATTTGGTAATACTGTAAAATTATCAAATAAGAATGTAACAATCCATAGAAAACATGATGATGTTGATTATGAATCAGATAAATCTTATCGATTTCTTGGTCTTTGTCTTGCATTACTATGCGCACTTTCAATATCGAGCAGTATTGTACTTAATAAAAAATTATTAGTATTAAAAATTCCACAAAGTGTACTTATGTTTCAATTTTCATTGTTATGCTTAATTTTACTTAGTATGAATCAAATACGTAATCATTTTATTCTTAATAAACATTCACATCAATCAATGTTTACGTGGCAATTTGCTGTTGCTGCATCTGTTTCATTAATACAATTATTATCATCAACAGTAACACAAAAAGCAATTAAACTTGAACATCCATCAATTGTATCTGTCGTTCAATCATCAGATATCTTATTTGCTATTGTACTTCAAAATTTCATTGCAAATGAAAAATCAAATTGGTTAGTTATACTTGGTTCGGGATTAGTTACAACAAGTATTGTTCTCGTAGGAATTCATAAGATATGGAATGATAGAAAAAAAATACAAGGCGAAGAAACAAAGAATAATAATCCAAAAATATAAAAATAGATATCTTTTTCTTTCTTATTTTTAATCATGCAAAAATTTAAATTTCATCTACCTGTTATAAAATTTTAATTGTTAAATAATATTACCGTTTGAATGTTAAAAGTTCGTAAATTTCTAAATAAATAAAAAATATTTTTTATACAAAAGTTCCGTAGGAAAAATCTTTGCTACAAGAAAAATAGAATCAAACTCATTTCATATGTATTTAAAGTATTAAAATTGTCAACATTATTATCTCCATGATATTATCAAGACTAACAGATGTCTTGAATAAACCCTTGTCGTAAAATAAAATAAGCGGAGTTAATCAGTCAATGTCATTTAAGGTTTTCTTTTCTGAAATTGATGGACATTTCTGTTTCTGATAAATAAATTATAAAATTATTTTCTCACAACATACCAATATTAACTTCTATGAAAACATTATTCATCTTATTATTTTCAAAAAAAATGAATGTAAACATTATTGTCATTTGTATATGATAATATAATCTTCTAAGAAACAATCTAGAATATATTAGATGCCAAAATTTATTTTAATTAAAATCATTAACACTAAACTATCAAAATTTATTATAATTAAAACACATGACTAAAAGAAAAACGAGATTTTAAAGACATACTGATACAAAGAAGAAAAAAAAGAAAAACGATTCAAATAAGATAAATGACAAATAGCATTAAATAAAAGCACACATAAAATATTTACATATAAGCAGCTGTAAGTCTTTGAAAAAGAGTTTCCTGTTGAAGTAAATCATTATTATCAGACATTGTTGCTGTTGATCGCATAGCCAAAAAGATATATGCACCAATAAATTCATGTATACATTTACTCTCAATACCATATAATGGTAAAAAATGTATTGTTTCACCATCAAATTCAATTGTAACTAATTTATTTTCCCAATTAACATTCCATGAACGCATTCGTGATATCCACCATGTTTTTAATATATCACCTGTCATTGTCATACGTAAAAGACGATTTGATGCAATACCAAGTAATTCCTATAGAATAATTTCAAACAAAAAACAACTATTATAAAAGAATAATGAAATTTTTGTTTTATACTTCTTTTTTATTTGATTCTTTAAATTTAACAACAAATGTTGTTATACCAAATTCAGGTAAAGCTTGCCAAACTTTGATATAACGTAATTTAGCTTCTATACAATCTAAATTACTAACAGTTGCATGTGCTTCAAGGATACGTTCAGTCAACTAAAATTTAAGTAACACAGATGTGAAAACATATTCAATTATTATAAATAAATTCAAAGAATTGAAAAACAACCATACATGAATTATTATACGAAAATATTCAACTACTAATGAATGATAATTTATGCAATAAGTTAAATTATCATATAATTACATTCATTATCTATAATTATCTCACAAAAATAAGATCTATTAAATAATATAATTATCTATTATCACTGAGAATCTAGCTATATTTAATATAATGAGAAAATCGTTGTTTTTTTATGTCTATTGATTAGAAACTCTCAGATCTAGGTTGATAAATCTCAACATCGGAGTAATATAAACACTTGATAGATTTTAATATCGAATAAAGATTATTCTTAATAATATTCTTTAGAGTTTTTATTAATTATCATTACAATTGATATTATAATGTATGCATCGCATCTGACATGAATATAAAAGTCTCTAATAATCATGCCTACGTAATGCATTATACTATATGGAAATGCCTTTGGCGATGATTCATAGATATATATTATATCGAATCCATCGCTCTAAATATTTCCAAAATTAATTTTATCTGAGACAGAAAAAAACTAACCTGTTTTGTTTTATATTTTTTAACGAATTTTGTTGATACGAAATTTTCTGGTTGTATATCAAATTTAATTTTTTGATGATTTGTTATCGATGATGATGATGATGATGGTCGTTGCATATGAAGTAAAGCTAATATTGATTCACGTTCAGTTTCATAAGATGGTTCACTTATTGATCGACCTTTTGATGCAAGACGAAAAGCAGCCATCCATTTTGCATATTGTTCTACCTACGAAATAAACAAAAACACTACTTGAAATTTAAATAAAAAATTTAAACATACAGTTGAACAACGAATTATTGTTTCATTCATTCCATCAATTGATGGTATCAATAAACGAATAGCATATTTTTTTGATGAAATATTCACATCCGGAAGTATTTCACAACCTTTCAATGGTATTTTTTCAATAGGTACACTACGTTGTTGACATTCATTTGTATAATAAGTTAATTGTGTATCTCGTATAACAAACCAATAACGTTTAAAAGTTTTTAATGTAAATCGACGTGGTTTAAAAAGACGTAAATAATCACTTAATTCATCATTTAATGAAAATTGATGTATTAATGAATTTGTTGATTTATTTTTCGTTGTTTTTGTTCCTAAAAGTGAATCTTGTAAACGTTCAAGTGCACGATCAATATCATAATCATTTCCATTATCATATTCATGACCAATATCATCATTTGAACACATAAATGTTGATGTGGATGAAACTTGAGATGAATGAATTTGAATTTGTAACTAAATTTAAAAATAAGATTTATTTTCTTTAATAATTAAAGTTAATATTTATCAAATTGGCAAAAAACGTTAGCTAGTAAGTTAAGCGTAAAAAGGAAAATGATCTTGATTAGAGGTGTAAACCGTTGTTATCCTTGTAAGAATTCATTGAAAAATTTCTTCATTATTGATAAATTGGCTTACATCTCTATTCTTGGTTGAAAGGTAAAGCGCATATAATGCTAAGGATGAGTATAATAATAGGTAAAGCTAATTCATATTACCTTACCTTAAATAACTCTGCCTTGATTTGTATAAAACACTAATTAGAATCTCTTTCTATAGAGTATGAACTATGAAAATATGCGTAACGTCTATGTTTTTTGTCTCATTATTATAAATATATAGATTTTCTATTTACTTGTAATGCAGCAAAAGTCATCATTTCTTCATCTGTACAGTCAATATCTTCACTTAAAATTGACCATTTGGCTTGTTCATATAATTGATTTAATCTTATTGCATCAAACTAAATGACATAAATAAATATATGAATATGAATTAAACAATTTTCTTTTTTCTGTACTTTCGGATTAAGATCATAAAATGTAAAATATTTAAAACGTAATAAAACTAAATCATTTTCAACTGTATTTTGTTCCATGATTGATCGTGATGAATCATACCATAAACTATTTAATAGAGATTTTTCAATAATATTTATCGGTCGTATTAATTGTGGTAAAATATTTTTTATTGGAGTTATTGGTGTTTGAGCAAGATTTTCATCACCATTTAACTCTAAATTATTCAATGATTTCGATAGATTTGTTACTGAACGTTGATGATGATTATTTATTGATGAATCCTTTTGAAAAAGAAAGATTTATTTTTCGAATTATTAGAAATAATTCTTACTATTCTATCGATTGCTGCAGTTGATCGAAGTTTTGGTGTTGTTGGAGAAAATAATGTTGATAAAGTTGATGTATTATTTGCTAATGAATCACCCATAGAATTATGTCGATTAAGTGTACCGATATTATGTCGTCGACGACGAGGTGATGTACGACGTTCATGAATTCCATTCATATTTTGTATACGAGATGAACGTACAAGTGATAATTCTTCAGCATGACGAATTCCTTAAAATGAATAGGAAAATTTAATTTGAAATTTTCTCAAAGATTATTTAGTTTCATACCAAGATCTTTACAAAGTTTACAAACAGCAGCAAAAACTGACACTGAAAAATCTGCATTTATTGATAAAATACGTAAATCGGGTAATTGTAAACGAATAGTCTTATGCATGCTTGTAAAATTAAGTTGAGCATCCGATTGTACACCATATTGATCAAGTGTCCATTTCGTATTGATTAACCAAATATTTGCTTTTGGCCACCAAAGTGCATAATCAGAAAAATCTTGAGATATATCTAAATATTAATTTATAAAAAACAAAAAAAACGTTTTTTTTTCGAAAGAACAAACCAAGACGATTAACAAGTTGAACCATAACCGATCCAATTGTCATCGAACCATTGACAACAACAATAGTTGAATCAATTGTTAAACTCCATGATAATGATTTAGGTACTGATCGTTGATTTAGTGAAGTAGGCATAACGTAATATATATTATCTTGCTTACTCACTAAAATCAAACAATGAACAGTATTCAATTTATATTAGTTAGAACTATTGATGTTACAAACAACCAATCAGAGTTGATCTATTCATTATTATATTATTTCTGCCTCCTATCAAATAAATGTTTTTTTTCTAGAAAAAATTTTTTATATTAATAAAGTTAGAAATTTATCTGAAAATAAAATAAATCATCATAAGAATTTATTTTATTGTGGAATTATTCTCATAATTTTATGTATGGTTATTGAGCCTCATTCATAGAATTTACAACGGACTATAGTGTCTTTCTCTTTTTGTTTCTTCTTCTTCTTCTTCGTTTTATTTTTGTGATATTCATTCTATATCATTTCAGATTTATTATAATCATGAGTGATTTTAAAGCTATTGGCAAGGCTTTCATTGATTTTTATTATAGTAAATTTGATCAAGGTCCACGTGAAGGTGTAGCAGCACTATATGTAAATATGAGACTTTCTTTCTTTGTTTTTGTTCTTTCATTATTAATTATTAATTTTAAAGGAACCAGTCAATGGCATGATGAATTTTAATAATGTTGATTTTGCTAAAGGTGCACAAGAAATAGCTGAAAAATTACGTTCATTGACATTTCAAACAATAAGTCATACAGTGTCAACCATGGATATTCAACCAACATATGATAATTGTATTATGATTGTTGTTACCGGTGGTCTTAAAGTAATTTAATTTTGTATATATATATATGTATGTATATATGAAGTATATTTCTATATAGGCAGATAATGATCCACCAATGCAATTTACTGAAACGTTTCTATTACGTTTTATTAATAATTCATGGCTTGTAATCAACAACGTTTTTCGTCTTATTCTTCATGGTTGAACAAAAAATAAAAACAATTTTTTTTACTTTAGTATAATTAGTATCTATTCAGAAACAAAAGAATAAAACTATCATTTAAGAAATACTTAAAAAATCTTGTTGATTTATAATTTATTTAAAAACAAAAAAAACTAATCTACTTTCATTTATTTATATTTACATTCTCGATGTCAAACATAATCATATATTTATTGAAAATTTCGTTTACACGGACTGTCATAATTAATCTTCATCAAAGAATTTTTTCTTATCGTAAGAAACTATTTATAGTTAAGAATATTTAATAACGTATTACACAGGAAAATGTATGTAATGATATATATTTTCGTACTCTAACGTTCCGATGATCTAATCAATGAGTGTATTCTTAGCAGGAAAAAAATGATTTTCCTAGAAGTGTCATATTTATGGAAAAGAACATTTTTTTTCCTTTATTATAATCATTAGTTTATAATAAACTAGGAACATAAAAAAGCATGTATCATCTCATGTCAAGATATTTGAAATTATTGTTATATAATGGAACTTTTCTAAAATTAGAAGATAATGAACGTGCCTAAACTTTCAACAAGGCTTATTGATAATGCACCACGACATTCGATTGACCTTCAATATGAATATTTTGAGGAAAGACTTTTAAGTTGTTTAGCAAAGAATTATGACTCTTCATAGAGAAAAAAAAGAGTGTAGATGGTTACCATTGTTTAGCGTATTCTCTATTATAGCAGCATCATACTAATCACTTTATAGGTTTTGTTCATGTTAAAAACAAACGTTATTGTAATATCATTTTCTTTTGTATTATGAAAGCAAAAAAGCAACAAATAGAAATTGATCTAAGAAAATGACTCGAAAGCAATGTTTTTTTATATTACAAATATTCTTACAAAAAAGAAGCGTACAGTTTGAAAATAACAATAGTTTATTTATTAATGACGAAAAAAAAAATACAAATTGTTCATCAATTTAACTTGATAAGAAATTCATTGTAAATTATTCACTTATCGAATGTCATGACGTAATATTTTATAATAAACAACAAATTTTTGTACGTTTTTCTTTTGTATGATGTCCTGTAGTTGGTGGATGTGGATTAATAACAACAACAGCTGGATCTTCACCACCACCCAGTAAACTAGTTGCACCTCCATGAGATACTTGATAATGATGTCCTTTACTTTGTCCAGGATTGCTTATTGCTGTACCACCGGTAGCAATACTATTTTTTTTCTGTTGCCCACGTTGTTTTTTCTTGAAAAATTCTTTACTTTGTGATTTACTCATTGGATCAGGCTACAAAAAGAAAATAAAATTCAACAAATAACTTCACTTAAACTAATTAAAGAATATCTGTAGAAAAAAAAACGAAAAACAAAAACGAAACGATCCTAAACAATATCGCTTTTTCTATCTAAATCATGCGTAACTAAATTATTTAATGGTACTGGCATAGTTTTATATTGTGATTCAAAACAAGATGAACTATGTCGTTTAACAAGACCAGTTTGATCAGAATTTTGTTTTCCAATCAACGGATTAAGTCTTGTACGTGATGATGAAAAAGAATTATATGGATGTTGTTTGGCATAAACACAACGATGATATGATGTATGATAAGAAAGTTTTTGAGGTTGTAATGAATGTAATGAATTTTTAACTCCAGAATTACCACCACCGCAACTACTTGTTGAATCTTGTAATGGAACACTTTCATGTTGTTGCTGTTGTTGTTGTGTTTGGGAATGAATCATATGTGAAGCACCATTTGAACAACTTAATTCACTAAGACGTCTTGAATCACTTGATGTCCAATCGGAGAATCGTCGTCGAAAAATAAGAAATAAAAATTCATATAAAACTTTTTTTAATTCACGACGAAATAATTCTCCAGTAAATGTATAAAAATAAAATCCACAACCATGATCAAGATATAATAGAAATCTCATAATACCATCGGATAAAATTAAATATTTTTTTTTATATTTTAAATATGGTTCAATAACAGAAAATACTCGTAATGGAAATGTTAATAATAAAAAAAGAAATGTTGAAACAAATAAAATATATGCTAATTGTGTATCACGTGGTGAACGTGTTTGTCTTAAACCTAATTGTTTCATTAATATATGAGATTTACATACAGAATAAACAACAGTTGCATTAGCTATTAAAATAATAATAAATGGTATTAAAGAATTTATTATGAAATCCATCCATGAAAAATAAAATGTTAGAAAATGATCATATGGTTCAACAGGTGGCCGTATTAAATTTGAACTACACATAATTAATAATTTTTTTTCCGTGTCATTATTTTGAAATCGATAATTTCGTTGTTCAGATCCGAAAAATATTAAATAATGAATATTAAGAAAAAATAAAACAGTTGATATTATAATTAATGTACAATATGAATGTTTATGACTAAAAATGTTTTGATTCCAAACAATACGTCTTGTAACAGCAGCACGTTCAAGTGATATAACACATAGAATCCAAACGGCACAATGTGAAAAATAATTTGTTATAAATTTATATGTTCGACATATATAAATTGAACGTTGTAGAAAATAGGATTGAAATGAATAACGTATTATAAGACGAATACAATTCAATGTAATTAATATTAAATCCTAAAAATTAAAACTAAATAACTTTTGTATGTTAAAATGAATAAAAGAAAAAACTAAAAGAAATTAATACTATATATTTACCATAAAACTTTCTGCAACAAATAATATTGAACAACCATATTTTTGAAATTTTTTTCTTGTAAATATTAATATTGTTAATAATGAACCAATAAAACCAAATGGGAATAATAACCATGGATAAATACGATGAAAACGTATGACATATTTAATCACAGTATCATTGGACAAATTTGATGTTGATGGTGAATACAAATCATAATATTCAAAATGTTCGATATTCATTCTTATATTATTATTTATATCTGATCTTATCTATACATACAGACTTTTTCTTTATATCCATATAAAAATAATACAAGGTTAGATTAAGTCAAGATTCTTCTTCTTTATGTATCCATCGACACTCAATGTCTTAGTATTATGTTTATATTTTTCTTTTTATTGTCGTTTCTGTCAATACCCCATATAGAGAGATTTCTTTTTGTCTTGCTCAATCATACTGAAAAAATATTTTTCTTAGTCTAATAAACAGCTTTATTCCGGGATAAATAGTACAACGATTTTATTATATTTAGTTTTATCTAATTACTTCAAGCTTCTCTCTTTCTTGTCTATTTCTAGATAAAGAATAAAGATAGGAAAACATTCATGTTCGTCATAGAGAAAAAAATAAATATATATCGAAAGACACCTCTGTTAATAATAGAGAACGACGTTTTGACAATAAAGAAACGTGTTATGTTTCTCGTCTACTCAGAAATATAGGGATAAATCGGAAAGAAAAACATGTAGTAAATGCAGTTTATCATCAAGAATAACACGATATTAATGCTAACATGTCCTACTTAATTGCATAGTAATAATAAGTCAACAGAAGTATATACGAGTATATGAACGCATCCCTTGACATCTTCATATAAATATTCTAAACTTATGCTGTCATTGTCAATGACGTCGTTACCCTTTTTTTGTTGTCTGCAAGGCATAGTTCTTTTTGTCATGCCTTAATTAATGGTAATTGTATGACTTATTGTATAGTTTTTTTTTCTTCTTTTATATTAATTGATCAAATATATATGACATGACGTTATCTTGTCTCTCTACATGACACATTCATATAGATTTAATATACAAAATACGCAACAAAATATATAATCATTGATATTCTCAACATGTAACTGTCAAACATGTCGATGATTAGATTCCGATTGAATATTTGTTTGACAATAATTTCAATCTCAAGCTGAGAAAAGATTTTTCTTCATTCCATCAGGAAGTACAAAAAGACATAACTAATAACAGACAAAAAAACACATCAACTTACAAGTATTGGCTCAACAACTACTTGATCAGTTTTTGAATTATGTCGTGAATCTGTTAACATACTTGCATCTTTCGGATAAAGTAACGGTTTTGGTTTAATTGGTAATATAGTATTGGATGTATCAGAAAACACTTGAAAGAAAAAATATATTTTATTTTTTTCCAAGATATTCAGAACAATATACTCTGACTATGACGTTGTGCCATTTTACCTGCATCACTTGATGATATATTAAAAAGGCTAAGCATAGCAACACATGGTGTATTTTGTAGAATTGCCGCAAAACGAACTATGATAAAAACAAAAGGAATGCAGAAAGATTCAATTGATTTTTCTTACTTCCACTCTGTGAAACATTTAATTTAACGAGAGTATGATTGAAATAAAACGTTGCTATATAAGTGCCTGTTATAGTAGACCAAACTGAAAGAAGACCATCTTGGGAAGCTGAAAAACCAATGAATAAATATAAAAATTAAATTAAAAAGTTTAATTTATTAACCTGTAATCGCAATATTGCCATCAGTAGTTAATGAAACAAAAACAATGGCAGTTTTATGTCTAAGAAGTTTATGTACAACAGCACCTAGAATAAGTTTTTTAGAAAAAAAAGATATTGAGATAGAGATTTGAGAAATCTGTACCGTCTACAAATGACCATAGTATTGCTTGACCATCTTTGTCACCGGTTAAAACATGTTTTCCATCTTCACTTATAGCAACAGCTGTAATTGATTGTTCATGTTCAACCAAAACCTTTTAATGCATACTTATAATTTTCTTTAAAAACTATTTCTTATTTTTACTTGTGTTAATTTTCCCGATGATAATTCCCATAATTTACAACTACAATCTTCACCACCTGTGATCAAATACTGTGAATCAGATCTAAAAGCTATACACGTAATTTTTCCTTCTGTATGATCAATTGAACGGACAACACGTGCATCATCCAATGACCAAATTTTTAAACTAAATTTAATTTATTCATAAAGAATTATATCATCAATTAAATAACACTTACATATTATCAGCATTTCCTGATACAACATATTTTCCATCGGGAGATACACCAAGCATTTTACATGGGACATTATACTAGCAAAAACAAAATTGCTTAATAATATATTTTGTAAAATATTAGCTTACTGAATCAATCAATTCACCCGTATTGGCCCACCATGTTTTGATGTAATTTTGTTCATCACTTGATAAAATCTTTCGATTATCTTCTAATATACGTAAATGTGATATTGAAGCGGAATGTTCCTGATATGGAAAAAAACAATTATTCAAAAGTACATAAAAATATCTTATTCTTTATTTACAGTAAATTCGGTAACAATTTCTCCCATTTCATTATCATAGACTTTAACAGTTGTATCTTTTGAACCAGATAATGAAAATAGATATGAATGTGAAAGTGCAACTTGTGTTACAGGTGCACGATGTTCAACAATTTGTTCTGTAAGTTCTCCATCAATTAAATTATATAATCGGACAATTCCAGCTGCACAACCAGCGATAGCAACATCACCTTCACGTGAAATCGATAATGACGTTATAGAATTTTGTGTTGATAATGGATCATCATTAGGAAAACCATTAAATTGTTGTTTAACATTTAATACATGTATTGCATTCTAAAAATTCATTAAATTATGTTTCATACCTATTATGAAAATAAAAAACAAACTTCGGCTGCTGAAAATAGAAAACAATCATCTGCAGATACATATAGATCAGTTACAGGTGAATCATGATGTGTTAATGTTCGAAGTAGAAGACGTGAACGAAAATTATAAACATAAACATATGTATTAACACAACCCACATAGCAACATATTGAATCTTGTGATATTGAAAGACTTGTTACCTATTGAGAAATTTCAAAGAAAAATTTAATGTATTTTCGGTGTTGTCTCAAAATCTGGAAAACTTTTGAAAAAAGATTCAACAGTTTATTTATCAAAGAAGCATGTGCAAGAAAGAAGAAAAACCATTTGATTTGAAGAAAGGTGACGTAGTTCACTTTTTACTAGCTACCAATAAAGAAAGTCCCACAAGATGTTCATCGCGATCGATCTCATCGCCCTCGCAATATTTGGCAACTAGGACTATGAAAGCTCAGGCTTAGTTCTTTTCAATTGGAACTGTCACACTTCTATTGGCAAGAGTTTTGATTTTAGCTAGAAGGTATGGGTGTGCATAAAGCATGGATACAAAACCCACACTCTCAAGGTGCACGTCTGTGCATATTTGCTAATAGAAGTGCAGAGCACAGTAAAGTAGAATGGCACTCGGTAGATGATAATCATAATTGACGTAGACAATCATAAATATTTATGAAAGAATATAATCATTCTCTTCTGTTATAATGATATCAGAAATTTTCCGGATTTCAAGACATATTCGTATTATCTCTCTCTTACTTCTGATGTATGTCCTTCAAGTCGATGAATATCACTACCAGTTACAAGTGATTTTACTTGAACTGATGTATCATCACAAGCAATGATAATAAATGTATCATCAGCTGAAATAATCATATGCTTAATAGGCGATCCAATTGTATCAATAATATCAAGTAATTGCATTCCACGAAAAGTCCATCGTTTTATTGTTTGATCACGTGATCCTAAAATAAGTATAGAATGAATATATTTATTGATTTTATAATAAAATAAATAAACCTGAAATTAAAATACTATCATCTTGTGTAAGAGCAATTCCAGTAACAGCATCTGTATGTTGTTCAATTGAATGTTCGATTTCACCTGTTTCAAGACGAAGTACAATAATTAATCGATCACGTGAACCAGTTACAATATGTTCATTATTATGTGAAACAGTCATACAAAGTATATCATCTTGATGAACACTAAATTTAGAAAAAAAACGTTGTTTTCTTCTTTAAATTTCTTCTAAAAATTTACTTATAAGTATTTTCTAAATCACCCGAATTAAGATTAAATAATTTAATAGTTCGATCTAATGATGCTGATACTAAATATTTGCTATTATATGTTAATTTAATTGATGTTATTAATCCTGCATGACCTAAAAATTGATAATAAATAGAAGAATATATTTTGTAAAAAGAAAAAAGAATATTAAAATTTACTAGTAAATTTTTTGACAAGTTTTTTTGATGGTATATGATACATTGCAATTTCATTTTGTCGTGTTGCACAAAAAACATGTTGATTAAATGTTGTTGGAGTTATTTTATAAACATAATCATTACATGGTAAAATTGTTATTGTCATTGGTGGAATTGTTGATATCCATGATGAAAGTGGTACAAATACAGGTGTATTACATGATTCACACCATTCATGTGCTTGAACATATAAAGATTCAATATGTTCATTATAACGACCTTAAATAGAATCAATGAATATATATACGCTATTTTGTGAGTTATCTTACTTTTAATATTTTTTAATCGTAAAATAATTTCTCCTGCAAGTAACATTGGATTAGAAGATATAATATTTGTTATAGTTTTTAATGTAGCTTGTACAAGAAGTATATCAGCATCAAGTATATTACTACAGATTATATCAAATTCCCAAAGCAATTGTTCAATAGATAGACCATGAATTTTTGATAATAAATATTCAAAACAACATAATGTGTATTCTTTTAAACGATCAATATCACCTAAAATAGAAAGATATTAATTAGATCTTTGGAATAATATTAATTACCAGAATGCATTAATTGATACCATAATTCACTAAGTCGTCGATAATTATATGCTACTTCAGAATATAGAAGTGGTTGTTGTAAAATAAAACGACGACCATTATCACCTCTGAAAAATAAAATAAGAAGTTTTTGAGTCAATTGTGATACGTGAATGAGTACTTGAGATCATCGAGGAACAGAAAATGTATTTTAACATACTAAATGCTATAGTATGTAGTTTCTGTAAGAATACTATATGGCAAAAAATCAGTTCATTTAACCGGAAAACTATACTAAAGATAACAAAATGTCCTTAAAACATCAATATTTCGTTCTAGAACGATGCGTGTATTCTCTCTGAGTAAAATACAATACATAATCTGTAGTATCAATTTGCTACGAAATAATAACAAAACTAGAATTAAAATTCTAGAGAATAATTTATTTATTTATTGAATAATAGATTACATAAGCAGATAGAATGTATGACATGGTTGATGTACTTTTTTAGATTGGATGTGCCCAGGGGCGCACTGCTCCCCTCTTGCCCTCGACACCTGGGTACGACCCTGGATGTGCCACCGATAGAATTTTGAAACAGTAGAGGAATATTTATAAAATTTGTAGTATTTCTCAAAGAAAGTATGATTTCCAGGTTCTTGTTTACATTGTCTGTATTTGTAAGAATGAGTGCAAATAGTGCTCTCGTAAGGTAAAGTAAGCATACAATGTAAACAGCATGTTCTTCCTGTGTACAGATGAGTGGAACTTATTTCAATCGGAAGTGTAAATTAACAAGTTGTCTTAAACAACATTTCATAATGTATGGTTATTAATCAATTAAATATTAATATCAAATACTTAGATGAATGAACGGCTTGTTGGCTTTTCGCCAATAGGACATTTGCCATTGCCGTAAGCACAGCAGATTCTCGTCAACTGTAATAACATAGAATATCTGTGAATAATTAACCTAATACTATTAGAATAAGCATGCCATAGGTTAAACTCTTCAATAAAGTTATTAGGAAATATTTTTACACATGTGTAATCATATCATGGCGTTGGCAAAATTCAGAATAAAACTACTCTCGTAATCGTTTCTCATTAATATAATTTATTCTGATAAAAACTTCTTACCTAATTTGAACGTTTCGATTCATATCAATCAATGGTTTTGATTCAATAAAAGCTTCAAGAAAATAATTTGCTATATCTCGATGTGCAATACGAATATCTTCAACTCTTTTTAAATATTTCTGTTTCATATGTCGTCGAATAAATGAATGACTCCAGCATATAACAACTTTTAAATCAAAATATCTTTCTGTTAACAGTGGACCTAAAGAAATTTTTTTTTTTAAAATATTTTCTTCGTTTTTTTTCTTCTTATCTATTTACCTAACATATATTTAATAGCAATCCATAATGATGGTGGAAAACGTAAATACTTTGGTAAATCTTTTGAATAATATTCCAGAAAAAATTCATTATTACATGATAATATATCAAGTAATTCAATTTCACTGATTGCTGATTGAGATGAACTAATATAATTAAATATAAATGAACATATTTTTGAACCAAATTTTTGTTCACAATGATCTTTAAAATAAAATTAAATTAAAAAAATATATATAAATTTTTCGCTTACCAATATAATTATTAAGTATATTATCAAGATTAAAATCTATCGAAGCAACTTTCTTTTTTTCTAATGATAAATAATCTAAATAACTTTCATTTAAAATAAGTCGAAGAATATAAAACATTTGTGATTGTTTATCTAATTGTTGATAGATAGATTTTGATAATGTTTGTATAACTGAATCTGTTATATGTCGTTGAATTAAATTTAATTCAGATTTTATAAATAATGTTAAATCAGATAAATTTATTGTTTCACTTGTAAATGGTAATTCAATTAAACAATTTTCTTTTTCAATTTTTTCAATCATTTCACGTATTGGAATTTCATATGAAGATGATGAATGAATACTTCGACCAACAGATAATATCACGTATACCTATAAAAATACATTTCAAAGTTGTTAGATGTTTCCATAATATTTCCTAGAGAATGTATAGCTTCTCACTGTTTAATAGAACATTGAAAGTCTATGTAACTGTTTCTCAAGCAGGTGTAAACATATAACCTACGATGCATAAGTATTCATAGAAACGCCGAAGCCTAGTTTTTTCATTCACTGATAGGACAAAGCGTTTTCTTTAAAATATAGATTTTGAATCTAATTTAGCATACAGCTTATAACAGAAAAACTGGCAATTAGTGTTAAAATCAAAGTCTGTAGATTTCATGATTTTCAGAGAAAGTTCTCAAAGAAAGTTTAAATATGCAGCTTCTCAATCGCTACAAGAATATGTATGAAACATTTGAAAAAGACATTTCATAGTATTCCTGAATGACAAAACACGGAATGCATACAAAAGCACTTAGGACTAGTCTTGATAAGTCGAGAGAACTACATTTATTTGATTTTAAAGTTTCAATATTGTTCTAAAGCATTCAAAGACACCAGAGATAGGATATGAAAGAATTTCTAATTTTTCCTTGATCACAGGCCACTTTTAGCGAGTTTAAAAAATCTAAAGGAATTCTAGTACTTTTTGTTTGTACACAGTAAATTTTGATGCCTATGCATCATAGGTTACACTGACATCTTATAGATCTTTCTTCTTTTTTTTAGAAGATGGAAAAAAAAGTATGGTGCCACTATTCTATTGACCTTGTTTTGGTTTACGAACAATTATTTATCTGACGTAAACATGCATCACACTAAAACTACTTCGTACTTGTATTTTTGTTTGTTAGCATAGACAAACAAATATTTAAAATAACCAAAGGGGATTTTTCAACGTTAGATGATTTGAGTTCTAACTCTATATTTTCGTCATCTATGAATATGAAAACATTTATATTACTTTTGGTGGAAGTAATTGAAGTAATGTTTGATAAAATGTATTACATGATATATGTTGACTTTGTAATGTTATATCTTCAATTCCATCAATCATTAATATAAATGGTTTTTGATTTTTTGATAAATTTTTTAAAATAGTTTGATAATATTCAATACGATTAGTTTGTTGATCAATATTTCCTACTGAGGCATTTTGTAATAAACCCATTTGTGTACATATTGATGAAAATATTTCACTAAGTTGACGTGATTTTGATGTTAAATTAACATATCTTATTATACATTGTACATTTTTTCCTAATGTATTTATAAGATATTGAACTATTTTTGTTGATAATAAAGTTTTTCCTGATGCACGACTACCAAATATCATATATGGATAATGTTCAGTTGTATTAGCTAATGTTAACCATTGTTTAAATGAATAATTATTCTCAATAAAATGTTCTAAACCAAGACATGTATTTGTCAAAGTTTTTGTATAATATGTTAAATGCATAAGATTTTCATTATATAAAATTTGTTGAGATGGTTTTAAATGATGTAATATTGATAAATCAATTGAACGTTCATATAATGATTTAATACGAAGAAATATCGAAGCATTTAATGTACGTAAATATCGTTGATAATCCGAATCATTCGACTGAAAATCTCCATTATCTTTCCATGGAATATTTAGTATTGTTCGATTATCATCATTTTTTAAATCATTATTATCATTATTTGAAAATTTATTAACAACAGATTCACGAAAACGTTTTAATTTTTCTTGACGTATTTTATCTAAACGTCCACCAGCAAGTGTATCAATAAAATATTCATTACCCTTACTCTTTTCATTTAAACCTTTGAATAGAAAGAAGAAATATTGTCATAAATAATTAGTATGAACTTTAAATAGAAATTTATATATATGTGAGAGTTAATTTGTCTTATTTAAGAAATGATACTTCTTTTGTTCGATAAGATCTTATAATAAAAAGAATTTTTATTAATGATATATCTAGCTGAGATTATTTTCAAATACAAAGAGATAAAAGATTTGTAAGCTATTGTCAAGTTGTATTCCAGGACTCTTAAGAGGATGAGGTTTTTTTTGTAAACATTCTGTAAGTCTTTTTTTTCTTCATTGACAGAAAAGATTTTTTTATTATCAAAGGATTTAGTTGTTATGATTAACCTGACCTTTAATTATAGAATACTCTTTTGCATTGAAACGGAAAACATATGATCTTTAAATTTATGTATAATTATATCAATGAAGAAAATATATGTGTAGAGATTTTAAAGTATTTTTATCTCTATTTAATCATGATTATATGACAATGGTGCTATTTGCTTTTCTAAAACTCGTAAAACATGTCTCAAGAGACAATATATATATATAATAGAATCGTTATTGAATGTATATTAGAAATGAGAATCTAATTAATATTGTAAGACGATCCAAATAAGATGTTACAATATAATACAAGCCTCTTTTTTTTATTTTTAATCATAGACATTCAAGATGAAAAATCATCATCTTATTTTTCTTCTTCATTCATAAAATAATTAGTATAATTATATGAAAGAGTAAATAACATACCATCAAATTGCCTTAAAACACACATACAACCAGATGAAGATAATTTTGTTGAATAATTAAATAACATTTCTACACTCGAGAGTAATGGAATATCATACATTGATTTAACATTCGATTTTTCATATTGAACACTTAGAAATAAATCAACTAAAGTTATATAAGCTTCATTCCATTCAAGATTTTCATGTGTATTTAAATCATATGTTGATAATGATCGTGATGAAACATTTGTAGAATTTTCATCAGGATCTTTTAATTTATAAATCGATGGTGACAGTTTATCATCTAATACATACCATCGTTCAAGTGGTTTAACATCTATAGAAAAAAATCATCAATTGAAACTTTTTTTTTGTAATCGAAATTTACCTTTGCCTAAATCAGCTGCTGAATTTTTAATATTATTAAAATCTGTAGTTGATAATTCAATTGGTAAAACAATTTGTCCATATTTATTACCAATAAAATTTAATAAAAAAAGTCCAGTTGATGTTTCATAAGCATTTTGTATTTCTTTCATATAACGTAATATATGATATGGATTTTTTGATATATCAAAATCCCAATTTAAATTACAATCAATAAAATAAACATAAATACCTTGTGTTAAAAAATATTGTTGTAATTTTGGTAAAGTTTCTGTTACTAACAGATCACGTTCAATATCAAATTCTAAAACAAAAAAAAATAGATTTTTACAAACTGTTTGTAAGTTGTATTTTTCTTACCATTTTTATTCGATATAACAAGAATTTTAATTTGATTCCAAATTATTTTCGGTAATTGATTACCAGTCAATAATACTTTCCCTTGTATTACATTTGTATAAACATCTGTACTGTTATTATTATTATTAATAGGCTCTGACACCATTCTAAAAAAACATATAACAAAAAATTTATTACTCGTATCATTAATTATATAGCCATTTTATCTCTCGAACTTTGAACTATTATCATATTAGAAAAAAAAAGTTAATAGCAAAAAAATACTAAAGTAATGTTGAACTATTTTTCAAGATTGATGATCAACAATGTATGAGTAGTACTCATTCAAGTAGATTTATAGACTATTAGTTCTCTTCTGATAGCTAATATTAGAAAAAATGAATCTAATGATGTCTATTTTTAAAAAAATTCTAGTGCTTTTAGACTCTTCTTTAGTATGATGTATTATACGATAGTCTTTTTCTTAGTTAATAGTATCTGATAGATCTAAAGTATATTATCATCAAGCTGCCAAAAAAAATCTAGAATGACACATTGTCATTCTCTTATATCTACGAACGGAAATGAGAAGAATGAAATCTAGTAAGCAAGAAAATAGGTTTTGTTTATAAGTATATATATATATATATATAGAATCAGTATTTATGGATAATATCAATGATTGTCTATTTATTAGATATTTATCATTTATTCTCTTTATCTAAATCTGTCAACTAATCTTTTCTCTATAATTCGAGCTACACTATGTCTCTAGAGACATTACTTACATGAACCCTATGCTCTATAGTAAAGCTAGGATATTTTATTATATACGGAAAATTTATAAAAAATAATAAGAAAATTAGTTAACCAAATCAACAAATGATGTTTTTAGTTAATTTTAAAAATAGAATTTAGATAAATATACTTTATTATAACTTATAACTTCTGACTTTCATTTACTTCTCCTCCTTCTTTTCTTATTGACATGCCTCTCTCTCCCTGTCTCTCTATCTCCTTTCATTCTTTTTTTTTTGAACACGTCTAATATTTGTCGCCCTTATTTTTTTTTCATTACTAACATCGCTGGCACTCTGCTGATAAGTAGCAAGAGTGAGAGAAAGCATAAGCTCTAATGTGAAGACAAAGTAGGCGTTTTTTTTATCGCATGTTCTAGTAACATCGAACATTTTTCTTGCAATTCTTCTCTTTTTTTTCTGACGTCGACAGATGAAAGTAGACGGCAACAGAAAAGTTCAAATGCTCACTAGCTCTTACGAACATCATGCAATAAACTACTGGAAACCGACTGTGCGTGTTAAAATAAGTTTTTGCTTTCTTTTCTTGTTCTCTATCGGAACTATCATAGTCTAGTTAGAAGTAATAGAAGAGGAAAAAACGCGAGAGAGGCACTAACATTATTATCATCATCATCATCCTCATCTCTTTTTCGTCAACCGATTATAATAACACAATATGATTCGATTAATAATTTCAAAGCATTTTTGATGTTATTACAAGTAGAATCACTGTTGCAACACAGTGCTGTCAAGCGTGAGAAAGAAAAGAAAAGACATGTAATTAACATCACAAAAAAGTTATTTATATTCATTATTATCATCAAAAAAATTTTCAAGCAGTTGGTCTTATTTCCATATCGTTCTATAAAAAATATTAAGAATAGATATTTTTTTTTTTAAAAAAAAAGAACAAACTTAATATATAATAAATGATCTATACCGGAATATATTATATCTATATTTCTGTTAATAGTGTGCAAGCATGCAGTAGAATAATATTCTTTTCATAACACGCAAAGCACGTTCTTATCCATTGTATTGATTAGTATGATTGTTAAGAATAACCCAATACTTCTTATATTTTGCATGTGTATGTGTGTTTAGATGCAACGGAAGCTAATCGAGTGTAAGCAAGACAGACAGAAAAACCGGAAGACTTGAAGCATTAGTGATTGAAATGATAATATGCATGAATGAAATTTCTTTTATTCATTAAGTAAAAGAAAAAAACAAAAACTCAGCATATACAAATGAATATTTTAAGAATATAATTAAAATATAATCATTTACTGTTTCATTAAGCATAGCAAATTAATCTCAACAGGAGTATTTGTAAAGTGTAATTAACATGTTTTTATCAGAATATGACTTACATCTAATAATAATGTATTGGTGAATAATTCCCTATTTTTATTCAACATGATAAAAATATTAATTTGAATATTTCTGTTGCTACAAAAACAAATATATAGATAATGTAGTTTATGTCATATTGATATACCTATCATTAAAATTAAACATGTTAGTGTAATTCCTATGAGATAAAAATATGAATGTCATATGAGTACTAATTAAAATTATGTATAAAACAGTATTAATAATATCCTAATTTATGTATGTCAGAATATAATTCGAAAAATAACATAGTCTATATGAATATATCTTGAAATTTATGTTTACAAAAGCCATCAATTGTTTTATTTATAATAATATTATTTGTATTGGTATTCATAAATAGATTCTTCCTATGTGATAATGATACAAATCTAATCAATATTAATCTTATTTGTATTACAAAATAGACATTGACTAATAAAACATCTGTGTAAATATATTCAATTCTAAGATTTAGTTATGAAGTACATATGGAATATCTCAAGAAAATTAATCTCATATCATTAGAAATATAAACTCTTTTGCTATACAGATGTAAATAATCATATATATATTTTTCTTCTTCTTTTTACAATTTGAGCAAAATAAAAGCTATATTCATTGTCTTTTGTTCATTTTTTTTATTGTTTACGACAATATCGAATAATACATAGTAGAGTACCAGATAAGATGAATAAACCGGAAAGACTACCAGTAACAATCCATACATATGGTGATGTTGATCCAACACAATTAGCTTTATGTACTGAACATCTTTTTGATGGTGGTTTAGGTGATACAAATGATAAAGTATAAATCCATGCATCACGTATAGGATCAATAGTAAGATCAAAATGACAATTATAACAATCAATTGTTTGATTTAAATAATGTTTATCAATACTAATATCAGTTGTATAAGTAAAAGATACTTTTAATGGATATTGACATTCTCTTGATACTGAAATATTGAAATGAACGTTATCACTATCACAAGTTGAATCAATAATACATAAATCACATGCATTACATTGATTATAAACAATAGAAAATACTACGAATAAAAGAATGGTTTTTATCATAATAAAATTTTCATATAAATGTGTTTTGACTTTAGTTTTTTGAATCTTTTGTTTTGCTCTTCTTATCTTAACTGAAGAACAGAACGATATGTTCTGCATTGTAAGTGTTTTTTTTGTACTCATAATCAGTTAGATATGTATTACATCATTATCAACTCAAAGTTTGTTTTTTTGATAAATAGTCAATAGTCATTTTTAATTTTCAATTCTTATAAATAAACACGTTTTATTCGAAAACAAAATATACCACAAGATGCAGTGTGAAAAGCTCTACAGTCTGCACTGTAACACTTACTTCAATTGTATACTTTTTGTTTTTAAGAAAACGCAAAACTGTGTGCAACCAAAACTTTAAAGTTGCTTCGAGACCATAGTATTTTACGTCGAGGTTTATACACAATTGACATAAATTAGAATTTACAATATAGATTGTAAGGCGCTTCATGCTGCATCATATGGTATATCCTGTTTTTTTAATAAAACGCATTAAGATATGAAATACAAAGTGTGAACCACAGGTGGCTTACATCGCCTCGGAAGGGATATTATTTGTGATAGATAAAATATGTATAAACATACATTTTTTCGAGATATCGTTATGGAATTTATATAGAAATATTCTATACAATTCGTTTTAAAATTTATACTATATCAATGTTAGTCAAACATAACATCTCGTTCAATTCATCAAACTATCCGATTACTAACTATTAAATCTATTTATATATTCATCATATGATACTTCTATGATTTATTTAATTATTCCTTTTATTTAAACACAATATCATCGGAAGGAAAAAAAAATGTATAAATATTCACAATAAAAACAACAACAAAAAAATGCATACAATGAAATACATGCAATAATATACAACAAAAAATAATCTGCATGATTAATTATACAATTGAATAGAAGACGACTACAATGGTGAGAGTAACAGTAAAACGAACTGTTCGATTAAAATAGATATAGAGAAAATTCCTGATAAATTAAAATGCTTCATATGACAAATAAATTCTTTTCATAGAAAATCATTTACAAGACATATAAGTATGTATATATATAGAGAGAGAAAGAAATAGATATAGATTTTATCGCTAAATAATAAATGCATATGCTATATAATCATTAGGATCTGTTCTAAAAAATACTCAACAAAAAAAAAGAAGACGATTTTAATATTATTATTCAAATGGTGGATATGAACGTATAATAGATTGTTCAGATAGTGATATTGCGTTTGCTCCTGGAAAATTTGCGTAACCAAAATTCTATTGAAAAAGTATATTTTATATTCTAGATATAATTAATAAAAATGATTTACAGATATATTCCATGTTGGTGCAAATAATTGTGGACCATTCGTTGTAAGAATTTGTGAAAGAAGTTCCAAACTAAGACCATTCGTTGGTGGTAGTGGTGGTGGTGGTGGTGGTATTCGTTCATTTTTTATCATTGTATATGGATTTATTGATTCATAGGGTAAAGATGATGACGATGAAGTTGAATGATTTGAAAAATAATCAATTTCCGATGAAGTCATTTGTGTTAGTTTTCGTTGATTTTCAATATTTGGTGATTTACTTGTTTTAATTATAGATTGATGATGATGATTTATTGGAAGACGTGGTACATCATTAGTTGTATCATTAATTGGTATAATTTCTGAAAGTTTACGACGTAAATTAGAATTTGTAACACGTAAAGAATCTCGTCGATGTTTAAGTTCATCAATTTTTTTTTGTAAACTTGCATTTTCAGATTTAAATTGATATAAACATGATAATAATGATGAAACATCATGTGGCATTGTTTGTTGAAGTAAAAAATCACTTGTTGATTCCCATTCTTGTTCAAGAAATTCTTCTAATGTTTGAGGTGTAGATAAACGTTGTTGTTGTTGTTCCGTTGTTGAAGAATTTGTTAATGGTCGACGAGGATAAAAATTAATATGAATTCGATCATTTTTTTCTTGAGGTTCTTCAGTTTTTACAGGTAAAGAAGTATTAATTTGTTTTTCTTGTGTTACAAGTGTTTTCTTTGGAGGACGACCAACAGGTCTTGGACCACCTTCATTCGAATGTTGACGTTTTTTTCTTAATTGTTCATCTTTATTAATTTGAGGTTTTCTGATTATTGGATAATCAATATCATTCTCTTCAGTTCTAATAGAAAAAATTTTAAATTACAAAAAAACAAATATCAAATTTACTTGATTTTTGGAGTTACAATCTTTTTTTCTAAAACATGAGTATCATCATTTGTACATTTCGATGTTAATAATTGTGGTTCAATATTAGTATTCGATGATTTTGTGATATCAGTCGATGGTTGATTTTGATTTGATGATGTTAATGAAGTTCCTTCGTCTTTATTTAATTCAACAAATTGTGAAAGATTCATTAAAGGATCAACTTGTGATGGATTTTGACTAGTTTCATGGTTTAATTTTTGTTTTGTTACTGCTATTAATGATTTACTAGTTGAATTCTAATATTAAACGAAAAAAAAGATCAGAAAAATAAATCGAAAATATTTTATTTACATGTTTCTGATCTGATGATTTGTATCGAAATGGGGGTATTTGTCTCAGAAATTTCTAAAAAAAAGATAAATATTTTGATTATTAATTGTTTTGTTTTATATTTTGTCTTACTGAAAATTTCGGTTGATGTTGTTCACAATAAATTGGATATTGACAATTATTTTTTCTTACATCTTCGTATAATAAGCCAGCTTGTTGTGCACATGTAACATGAAATAATTGTGAACAATTTTTAACTGTACATTCGCAACAAGCACCTTTCATTGCATGAGAATCTGTACGTCCATTTTTCTTACATAATGAACATATTTGTTGAAAACGTGTTGATGGAATTTCTGATAATATTATTGGTTCCATAGTTGAATTATTACCAAATGAAACTTCAGGTATATAAAGTGCACATATAACATGTGCCCAACCATCATCAGATGTACGTTTCATTGCCCCTTCAATCGTCGGACATAAACGACATGGCTATAAAAAAAAATAACATATTATTAAAAATTTATATAAAACGTTTTTGTTTACTGCTTGAATTTCTCCTGCTTCACATCGACGACAATACCAATCACCATCAGGAATTGATACAATTCCATAACATGCTTAATAAATCAATTAGGATTTAAATTATTTTAATTAAGATTTTTTTTTTCTTACCAGTATGACAAGCAACTGTACATCCTTTTCCATCACAGTAAACAAGTGCATTATTTGAAAAACCTTGATCATCAGAACAGACACAACAACCACCAACTAATTCTTCATTATTTATCATCGTTTTATATTGAAAATTATGATTCGTTTTCGAATTTTTATCATATTTATCGATTGACAATACTGCTTTAGAATTTTTCATTGAGTACAAATAGAACAAAAAAAGGAAACGAACGAGACACTACACTCAGCTGCTTTGTTATGATTCATCATGATAGAGGACGCAACAAATTTTTTCAATGGTTGATCAAAGATCATTGGTAAAATATGGTCATGGACAGAATGGATTTAAACAATATCATGTTTGTTTCTTATTTTGGAATTTACTAAATGGGGATATATTATAGTGTAATATCATTATTTTCCTCACCAACAGAAACTGATAATAGAAATGTTCAAACAAATTCCAAATATAAGAAACGTCGACGTCGACGTCAGAAACAACAACATTTATTAAATCAATTTTATTTAGGATCAAAACATTTTCTAGTTAATACACAACCAAATACATGTCTTTTCAATGAATATTATTATTCAAATTCAAGGAAAGATTCATTAAATCCTATACATCTACATATTTCATTACCAGAAACGAATCATTCAACGATAACACATCCTATTCAATGTACAATAGCAATACGAAGAGATTCATTGAAATTAATTCATTGTCATGATGATTATTGTTCAATTGATTTTACATTCGATGCTGATTGTCCTGTACAAATATACAGTAAGGAAATTTCTCTTTTTAATATTTTATTTAATTCTATTTATTTTTCAAGTCTATTTTATGGCACATGAATTATATACAAATAATAATGGATCATTATCATATGTATGTTGTGAGAAAACAAATTATTCAAATACATTTAAACAATCTTATGCATTTATTCGATCTGCTGGTCATGGACAAATATTTTCATCAATACTAAATGACATTCGTTTTCCTCTATCAATATTACGTGAAAATCATCATAATTGTACAATGAAAAATCGTGTATATCCACTTGTGATCATTTGTCGAGAATTAAATAAGTAAGAAAAAACATTTTTTTTTAGATAATTATTATTTTGTCTATTATAGAAATTCAACAACGACAACAACAACATCATTTCCAACATTTGATCAATTCCATATTGTATTAGCAACAATAAAATTACTTCGATTAAATGATACAACATTACCCATAACACTTGATCGTGTATCTGTTGTTTTACTTAATCAAAAACATGTTTATAATGGTATAGTATTTAAATTATTTGAATTATATGGTATTGAAAATTATTCATCGAAATCTTCTAAAACTAATCAACAAAATAAATCTTTAATTCAAATTATTTCAACATCAAATCTTAATGAAAATGAACCATTTTTAAATTCTTCATCTAATTTGGATATATCATTAAATGAAAGTACATGTGTAATTTGTTTAACTGATATACGTAATGTTTTATTACTTCCATGTCGACATATTTGTTTATGTAGTTCATGTGCTGAAAATCTAAAATTTCAATCAACTAATTGTCCTATATGTCGTATACCATTTCGTGCTTTATTACAGATGAATGCATTATATTGTCAAAAAAATTCTTATATTAACGAAAATAATGATGATGATGATTTAATATTTGAAAATATGTCACTTATTGATGCACTTAATTTATCAACAATAAAACAAATTAATAAACAAACCATAACAACCAATGATATGAAGTATTTTTGTAGTGAACATTCAGTTTAAATATCTGTGATATTTCCTATATAAAACATTATATAACTAAGGTAGATTTATTTTATTTTATTTTATTATTTTTTAGAAATTATATGTTGAACTGGTTTGTTTGTTTTTCCTCTTTTTTGTACAAATTATAAATCGATTTTAGTTTTATTAAAAATTAGAGAAATATTTTTATCAAAATAATGTTTATTTTTGTAAAACTAAATAACAAAAAATTATTCTATTCATTTGTCATATGTGCATGAGTAAAAATCTTATGCAAATAAGTTCATGTTCATTAGAAACTTATTAGTTTTGTAGGATCGAGAAAAACAACAAATAGAGAAATAAGATTGAAGATTAATGTTATTGTAAAAATAAACGAGAGAGATTTCTTCAGGGATGTTTTGAGAGAATAGAAACGAGTTTAATAATTATTTTGTCAAGAGTCTATTATGATAGGACGAATATGAAAAATAATCTGTTTTCTTTCCGTTTCCGCTACACCTGACTTTATTAAAAAAAAACGTTGTTATGTTCTTTTACTTTATATGTAGTTATGATGAGCTCCAATTTCGTCATCTGCTATTACTTGATTAATCAAAATAATTCTCCCATTTTTGTTATTATAAGATCAAATGTATAAATCCGACAGTGGTGGTGGTGCCTGTTACTATTACTTAATAAATAGAATACAATATGCTACTGGTTGTGTGTATGTGTGTGTGTCTATAAAAAGTTATCGAATACTATCATCTAATCAATTTATTTTTTTCTGATATGTGTGTGTGTGTGTGTATACTCTTTGACATAGCGTTTATTTATTTAATGATGATCTAGTGCAATCATCATTAGAGAATTTTAGTAATTTGATTTGTATTCACAGGTGAAAGAAGAGAAAATTAATAGTATAGAAATAGATCAAGGGAAACTTTGCTAAAAAATATTTTATGATAACACACAACTGCTAGTTTTCTGTCTGGCAAAAAATACAAATGGAGTCGATCAAGCTTATTTTTCCTTGGTCTTCTACTATATATTCATTCTGTTTTTCTTTATGCTTCATCAATGACAGAAAATGCTGTGTAATAAATAGAAGAGAGAGAATACATTTTTTGAGATTGACTTTTTGTCCCGTCAACGTTAATGATCCCCATTTAATGACGACGAACAAGGACAACAAGCCACTTTGTAAAGTCCACAATCATTGTCACGATCAGCAATTAGTGTTGATGCGTTAGTTCTATACATTGACATAATGTTTGACATATTATTATTTTTTTTTGCCCCTCTCGCCTATTCGCTCAGGTAATATGTGCATAAGTCAACGAAAAAAAAATATTTATATGATGACGTAAATGACTCATCTTTTATATAATTACATTGTAATCATTTGTTGTTTTTTTTACAGAATGAGTAAATAATCAAACATTTGTATAAGGAGAAAGAGAGAATTCTTTTTTTCCTTCGTACTAGCATAGTTTTGTAAAATTATAATATTATTATTATTATTATACGAATAAGAGAATTAGTATGTCAACAGAAACTATATATTTAAAAAGAAAACGGAGGGGGAAAAAAAAGATATTCTATTTGCGTATATTATTATTGTGTACCTTTATATTCGTTTGCACAACAATATACCGTTTTGTCGCGTTTGCTTTTACTCCTTAGCTGTCTGGTTGAGATACGGCGCATATGTTATAGAGAAGAAAAAAAACGCATGGATACTATTACGATATATATATATACATATAACGTATGTTCGTTGTTGTTTTATATATAGCTACAAAGACAACTGACATCTGATCGGATTTTTATGTTATCAAGGTTAAAAACTTGTCTAAATTTGAATAAGTTGAAAATAAACGAAATAAATATAATTTCCATTTTTTTTCTCATAGAAAAAAGAATAACATTAACGCCTACACAATTATAAATGTGCTTTTTTTTCTCTCTCTCTCTCTTTTCATATTCTTCTTTTTTTTTCTACATCATGCATTACATTCGTTTTTAGATTATTTATTTTGTTTTTATTTCTTCGTTTTTTCTTTCCTATTTCGTTATTAAATCATGTCGAAATACAACATATTGACGACGACGACAACAACATATATGATTTGTACATAGTCACATATTTGTGTATGAGTAAGTATTAATAATCATGACAATATTTATTAGTTATATTCATATGTTGCAACACGTGTTTAGGAAAGAAAAAATAGTCAAATATGGAAGTTGGTTCGACAATAGCAAAAGTTTTTAAACGTTTTACAATACCCCGAAGTACATCAGCTATGGGTTCATTTACAACATCAAATGGTACTGCAAATAATACAGAACCAAATCCTGAAGAAACCACGACAGCTACACCCCCAACATCATCATCATCAAATCATAAACATCCTCCACTTTCCTATGTTCAAAATATTCGTTTGATTCAACAGCACAATCTAACTGATTCATCACCTCAACAACATTCAACTACACCACCATTACGTGAGAATATTTCATCCGTTATTGTTTATCCATCAACAGATCAAAATACATCGAAAAAAAGCAAAGTATAATAAAAAAAAACCTTTTCAAATATTTATTTATCTCAAGATTTATTCTTGTCTAGATTGATACAACGAATAAAAAATCTAATATTACACATGATATGAGTTTTGATAATATCAATGAAATATCTTTAGAAAGTAATAATGATTCAACAAATAATGGACATCATCGTTCATCTATTAAATCTTTATTCACAAAAAAATCTCATAATGCACCTTTATCACATTCTGTTAATATAACACCAAAACAAAAAAAATCACGTACTTCATTTCGTCCATTTTCGAATTTTCTTAAACGTAGTCAAAGTACAACTACAGATTTAGCTACATCTAATAATCAATCATCTACTGATCAATCTGTACCAACTAGATCTTCTCAAGAAAATGATTTAACCTATTTAACACGATTAAATACCAATGCTGTAAATAATAATAATAATAATACAACTACTAGTACAGGACTAGTACCAATATCTGAAGAAGATAATCCAATACAAAATAAATTAGATAAAATTTCTGTTGATGTCAATAATAGTAATTCAAATCATCAAGTTGAAACTAATGTATTAACTCAGCAACAAGTGTCAAAAACTATCAAAAGTCTTAGTAAGTTTTTTTTTATTTTATTTATGTCAATGTTTATTCTCCTGAGGCCATGGAAAACATTACTGTCTGTCATTTAGCCCTTGTCTTTAACATATTGTATAATTAACATATTTTTTTCTTTATTCGATAATTCACATATTAGATATATATTCAAACGTTGAGTTAAAAGAATAGATCAAATATTTTTCACGAATATCTTATGAAAAAAAATATTCTTCAATTTATAAAAATAGGTGCATCATCATCATCATCACCACCTTCTGGTACATCATCGGTATCAGCTACGAAATATCCTAATGTTAATAATCAACCTCAACAACGAGATGAAATTGTTAAACCGTCCAAATCTTCGTCATCTATGTTATCACATACTGGCACAGCACTTTCTATTCTTCCTAATAATACGAATCCTAATAAATCATTTATATCTAATTCAATTAGTTTACATGGAGATATTAATAATTTAGTAAATAATCAACATTTGTCTACATCGAATACAAACAATAGTACAGGTTTGTTGTTATTTATATAAATCTATAAACTATTCATATTTTTAATATATTAGAACGAATATCTATTCATCAAACAATGTCATTGAGAGTTGATGGTGAAAATACAAATGAAAATCAGCAAGTAACAAAAGTTAAAATGCGTGATCATAGTAGTAAAAAGAAGAAAAATTCTCGTGCACTTGAATCACGTATATCGTTACCACCTGAAGTTAAAAATACTTCAAATAATGCAGCAAATCAACCATTTAATGATTTACATAATGTTCGAATGAAATTAACAAAACGTTCATCGTATTATCAACCAGGTTCAGCATCAATTCACGGAATTAATGATGTTTTAAATCAATCGAATATATCTTTATCACGTCTTTCACCACATTCAACTGGACCATTAAGTCGTAATGAACATCGACGTTCAATGCTTGATCTTGGTTTTGGTAAAATTGAATCATATGTTAAATTAGAAAAATTAGGAGAAGGTACTTATGCAACCGTTTATAAAGGAACATCAAGTATACTTAGTGGTTTTATTGCATTAAAAGAGATTCGACTTGAACAAGAAGAAGGTATGATTAAATTTTGAATTTTTCTTTATTTTCTCAAGAATACAATATGACTAGAGATGAAAAAATTCTTACTAAAGTATCACATCTGTTTTTTTTCGAAATCTTATCTGATAGATAGATATAACAAAACCATATATAGGATAATATTTATTAGTATTAGTATGACATCATTCAATATGTTTATTTCGTCTAGTGTGTTAAAAGGCAGTCATGCGTAAATGTCCTTTTACTATTCTTAATTATTCAGGTACATTTATGTTTTAACTGTCTTCTTTCGGTTTCTTTTTATTGATCATATATCATCTTTCTTATATGAGACAATAAAACATGTGTATCGACGTGATTGGACAATTATAACTTGTTATCAACAAGTAATAAATAATCGATTATATCGAAATTTTCAATAGAAAAATGATGTTTCATTGAATATCAGATGCTATTTCTAGAAACTATTCAGCTATATGTATATATCATGTAGTGAAAAGAAAATGTGTTGATTACAACCTTTAATTAAATCAACTATACTTGATATCCGAGTCTTCAAATGTAGAAAACCAAAGAAATTTTATCTAGAATTGTAATTTAATACTTGAAGATTTTCTTGTGTAAACAAAAGCAATCAAATATTATAAACAAAAATATATTTTAGGTGCACCATGTACGGCATTACGTGAAGTGAGCTTATTAAAAGGACTTAAACATAATAATATTGTTTGTCTATATGATATTATATTTGATCATACAACATTAACACTTGTATTTGAATATGTTGAAAAAGATTTAAAACAATATATGGAAGATTGTGCAAATATTCTTAGTATGAAAAATGTTCGTTTATTTTTATTTCAACTTTTACGTGGATTAGAATTTTGTCATGGAAAAAAAATTCTTCATCGTGATTTAAAGTATAAAAATTATTCATTCTTTTTTTTCTATTCAATAATAAATATTTTTGTCTTTTTCTTAGACCACAAAATTTATTAATTAATGAACGTGGTGAATTAAAATTAGCTGATTTTGGTCTTGCACGTATTAAATCATTTCCAACAAAAACATATTCAAATGAAGTTGTTACACTATGGTATCGACCACCTGATGTTTTACTTGGTAGTACAGAATATTCTACACCAATTGATATATGGGCTGTTGGTTGTATATTTTTTTGAAATGGCATGTGGTCGACCATTATTTGCTGGTACAAAAGTTGAAGAAGAATTATATTTAATATTTCGTTATCTTGGTACACCAACTGAACATACATTACCCGGTGTAACATCAAATCCTGATTTTCAAGCATTAAGATTACCTTTTTCGTTTGGTGAATCATTAAATCGTTTAGCACCACGTCTTGATCAAAGTGGAATTGATTTATTACAAAAATTCATACGATATAATCCACATTCTCGAATATCTGCGCGTGATGCAATGATGCATAATTTTTTTCTCATGTTATCCACCTGAAATACATACATTAGGGCCATTACAATCAATATTAGAGATAAATGACGTATCATTGACGAAAAATCATGGTTCAAAATTGAATGCACCATCGCTTATGAAAACCGCTATTTCGAAACGATCGAGTGTTCATCTGTGATGTGTTTGTTTGTCTGTTTGTTTCTCCTTGTCTCGCTTACAGAACCTCATTCTATGTATCCTATTTGTATATTATTATTACCATCTAAATTTCTCATTTTTCTTTTTTTTGCAATTGTGTTATTTCTGTTTTTCGAGACATTCGTAAATAGGATCCTTTGCATATATTAAATATCTATCTATCTATATACATATATACAATAATATTTCTCTCAAAAAATGACATCATAACCAGAGCAAGCACGTGCAAACCAAAACAATTATGATTCTTATCATATGTGTATATATATTCTTTTGTGATGAGTTATTGTTTCTTAGTAGTGTGTATGCAGATGTATGAAATTGTTTTATTTAATAATTTCTTCTTTTTTTTTTGAAAAAAAAATTTTCATATTTAAAGAATGTAGTTACTTGTTTTTTTTTCATATCATAATTTTCTCTACATTCATATTTATAAACGAACAAATAATCTTTAGATTATTTAATCAATGGAATTTGAACATTCATCACTTCCATATGTATGTCTAGATTTCATCGAATCAATAGAAAGAAATATTCGATTTATTTTCTTAGGCTCATCAACAAATTCGTTTAGGCGATATTCAAGCATCTGCACATAAATGGTTAATAGCAATTGATTATTATACACATGCAATAAGTTCGTTAAAAAGGATTTTTTCGTTATTTCTTAAATGAATTTTTTGTTTTATTTAAAGAATGTTTTCAAGAAATTCAAAATACATTACAAAATGATAATCTAATATCGGTATTAAAACCTCAGATAATTCAATGTGAAAAAGCAATTCATCTATGTCGGTTAAAAGATCGATCGGAACAAGTAAATTAATACTTAAAAAGAAAATCGGAAATACTTCATTGATCGATGTTTTTTTTTCTCTAGGTAATAAAAGCTGAGCGTTTATCTAAATTAACTCGTGCACATTCAACATCAAATATAAAATCTTCGACAAAAACAAATCGAATATTGACAAGACATAATACAATACAAATAGAAAATAATTCTACGTCAACGGGTATGGATTCATTTGCTGCATTTATATTTTCAAAGAATACTCAAATGAATCCAACAACACCTATAATTGCAAAAAAGAATGAAAAACATGATGCACATAAAATTGAAGAATTACAAATGAGTTATGAAGCATTAAAAACTCATCTTAAAGCAGCATTTGATGATATTGAACGACTTAAATATGAAAATAATCAATTACGTATACAACAAGAATCAAATATAATTCAAGAACAAAATGAATCTAGTCTATTATCAAATAGTGATGATGATGAAGAAGATCAGGAGACTGAACTTGAAGCAACATTGTAAATTTTTTCTGTATTTATTTATTTCGAATGTATTTAATGTAAATCTTTTCTTTTTTTAATCTAATAATAACACATTAAAATGCTGAAAATAGTCTGCGAATATTCACATTATGACAGTAGGAGGAGCACACCTTCTATTTTCTCATAACAGATATTTTTAACTATAAAAGGAGGCAAGAATACAATTGAGATCATAAAAAGAATTATCATGTTTAAAATCTTTGCTATTGGTCTTTTATTCGCCATGATTATGGCTAGTTTTGCACAAATTAACGATAAATGTCTTCAATGTATTTGTAAAACTGAATCTGGTTGTCGTCCACTTGGATGTGCTTTTGATGTTAATTCTGATTCTTGCGGATACTATCAATTAAAACAATTGTATTGGGTTGATTGTGGTAAACCAGGAGGTTCACTTGCTGCATGTTCAAAAGATAAAGCTTGTTCAGAAAAATGTGTTCGTGCTTATATGACACGTTATGCTTCAAGATGTACTGGTGGTCGTACACCAACATGTCAAGATTATGCACGTATTCATAATGGTGGACCAAATGGATGTAAAATAGCAGCAACTGCTGGATATTGGAATAAAATTGCTCCTTGTTATAATTCCGGTTAATACTTTTTTTTTCTTTTTCTAATAAAAATAAAAAATATTTTAATATTACTGCTATAATACAACAGAATAGGAAAATAATGATGGTATACACTCTCAATGTACAGATTGAGTACGTTATTGTAACAGCACATTTATTTAAAATTTCTCTGAAACAAAAGATGCAGCGTGAAAAGTTCTACAACTTACATGGAGCCATTTATTTCTACTTTTAGTTTTGTTCTAAAAAAACTGACAGCATTTTAAATAGCTAAATTTCGAATGCATGAAAATTGGTTTTATAGCATTTTGTCACCTTGTTTCTCAATTATAAAAAAAGGTTTAAGATGCAAATTGTAGAGCTGTTCGCGCTGTATCTTTTAGTATATTTCTCTGTTTCTACAAAGACATATTATGTGACAAAAATACAAATTTAGAAAAAGGAGTCTTCCATTTCTATAGAAAACAAAAGAATACATAATTGATATACGCTTGTTCGTGCATCTTCTGATATATTTGATTCTTAATTAAACGTACTATATAATTCGATAGAGTAGCCGATGCTCTATCGAACGGTATCAAAATAAGAAAATTACAAAAAACTATTAAAAATAACGTAATCAACTTATCAAGTTTCTTGAATTTTTTATGGAAAACGAAAATTATTTCATAAGAACTTATAAATCAATGAAACAACTTGTCGTCAATACGATTCTATCTTATATACAGATATATATACATTGTTCGACAAGTGACTATCTAACGATGATATATTGATTTCTATCATCACATAAAGCAAGAATACGATGAGAATATCTCAACTAACACAAAAAGGTTGCACGATCATTGCTTACACATCATCGATCTTGTTTGCTTGAATATGAAGAGAAATAGAAAAAGAAAACTTATCATAGATAGGTTAACATTTCTCTCTTAAGACACATATGTGTGTATATCTTCATCGTTATGATCGATGTCGAATAACAGAACAATTTGCACTAATGTCTGCCTATCAATAACCATTATTACATATACACTAACTGTTATATTTAACCAATAGAAAAACAAGTGTAGAAATGTGTTCTTACCAACTAAATCTAATGAATAACACATTGTCAATGTCACATTGAATTTAAATCATAAACAATAACTTCAAAGTATATAAAAGAAGTTTAATATAAACAAAAGTTTGATGATACATCTATATCAAGCAGAGACCGAAGTTAATTATTATTTCTATCAATATCATTGTTATAAATCTCTTTTACTCTTATTGTATGTGTATGTTAAATAAATAAAAGTTGTCGACAAGATTGAACACAAACGCGGAGAGATGATAATATTGATCTTTAACGTATTGCTCATTAAAAAAAATGAATACACATGTAGCAAATCATTGTTTTTTTCAACAACTTTCATATATATATCAATAACTTGTTTTAATTGAATGAAAATATATCTAAGCGCACTGGTAATCATTAAGAAATATGATATGATTGATAAAGAAGAATCATCAAGCACAAAAAGTGTCAATATTTACAAATGGATAGAAATAATCGATTGAAAAATGTTCAAAAGTAATTGACATAAATCTATTTTCCTTATATTGAATAAGGATAAAGACATCAATATACTCTATATATGTATTCTATTCGATTAATCAAAATCAAAATAAATTTTTAATATATTCAATTTGATTTGTTTCCTACGCGTAATAAGATTTTTATCCGATTGTTAAAATAACATTATAAAAAATTAATTTTCTCTAATATTTGTTTTCTTTTGATACGTTTTTCAATTGTATTATAAGACAATTTCAAGTTTAGTTAAACAAAAGAGAAGAGAAGTGAAGTATTGATTTTTTTATTCATCATTAATCAACATATTTATTGAAAATAATATATATAAGTATCGACATTCTTTATTATTTGTATCACAAAATCAATCTTGAAATAGGTAAAGTCATTTGCTCATACAGGGATACAATATTTATATGATAAGTATTTTCAGATTTGAGTAATTAAAAGACAATCCTATACATGTCCATATCGATCGGAGTTTTATCAATAACTAGTTCTATTATTTTTCTCCATTCAGCATGCATATAAATGGTCTGCTAAATTGTCGAAAGAATTGCTTCTATTAGTGTATATATTTTAACGAATGAGAAAAAAGTTCTCTTCTTTTCTCTCTCTCTCTTTCTTTCTTTTCTCTTACACATATGGATATCATAATCATAGTTTGCTAGTGTATGATGTCTGAAGTTATTCTGATGAATCTTTTTTTTTTTGTTGATGGATATTAAAATGAAACGTATGTGATCAGAAATAGATATTTAATAATCTATACGAATGCTATTTTCTAGATTAGAATCTATTCCGATGAGTGATGATAAATTGGAAACGACTGAATCTTCAATTGGTCATGACGACAAATTGGTATCAAATCCATCGACAACATTTCCTTCATCAACTATACAAATAACTTTAACAAATCAAATGAATTCATCGTCTTCTCCTTCGATGTCACCAATTCAATCGTCGTCGTCGGCGTCTCCTATTCGACGAACATTTAACATCTGTGATATTCTTGCTAAACCATCATCATTTATTGATAGTAATCAAATTCATCAATTGAAATTTTTAATTGAACAACAATCACATTCTGATAATGATTCTATAAGTGATTGTGATGAATCTGGTAGAATTACAATATTAATTCCAAAAAAAAGAGAATTTATGAATTCTTTTTCTTCTTCTAGATGAAATTCCTGATGATGATTTAAATGCATCGAAATCATCATCAACAAGTTCAGATAAATTATCCAAGGGACGACGACAACGAACAGCATTTACTTATGAACAATTAGTTGCATTAGAAAATAAATTTAAACAAACAAGATATTTATCAGTTTGTGAAAGACTTAATCTTGCATTAGCATTATCACTTACAGAAACACAAGTTAAAATTTGGTAGAGATTTCTTTGACCTTTTATCAAATAATCCTCTTTTTTTTTGTTGTTGTTATATTAGGTTTCAAAATCGACGAACGAAATGGAAAAAACAAAATCCAGGTCTTGATGTTAATTCTCCAGCAATGCATTCATCACCATCATCATCATCCGCAATTGGTATTCAATCAGCTGCTGCTTATGTTGCTTCATTTTATAATTCTCAACAACAAATTCATGGATCTTCATTATTATCACCACTCTATCTTGCATCACTATACGCTAATATTCGAAAATTTACTTAATTTATTAGATTTGTTCTTTTTTCTTCTTCTTCTTCTTTCATACCAAACATACAGTGTCATGTTTGACAAGAAATTGTGAACATACAAATGATACCGATTAACATTCATAAATATATAGAGTAACACATTGTTGGTATCAATCAAATGTCATTCTTCCTCTTTTTTTTTTGTTGTTTTTAACTTGATATTCAACAAGATTATCATTTCATTAAAATGAAAAACAATTGATTGTAATTGCTTCATTATTGAGATATTATTTAATATACAATGTTGATAAGAATAACAAAAATATTTGTGTGTATAGCCTACTCATCAACATTGTAGACGTATATATCAGTATTTTTTAATGATTTATTCGATTATTCTCATTAATTATATCTTCATAATCGAAAACATGTGGAATTTTAAGAAAATCTGTGAAATGCATTTTCTTTTTATGAATGAATAAATCAAGATAAAATTATTTTGTTGTCATTATATACACGGAAGGATAAGGCAATATGATTTTATTATTAGTTAGTGAAATGCTGCTGCTCATTTTGTTAATACTTACTAATGATTATTTTTCAACAATCTCTATCGTCAAGCCTTGATTGGTAGTACAAACATTAAGAGCAGAATTTCTACCGTTGTCTCATTATTCTTTAGGCAGATTTTTAGTACTATTAACTTTTTTGCTACTGTGAAAAATCACAGAAATCAAACAAACCATGTACTGTAAATAAAGATATATAGATTTGAAACCTTTTGAAATCAGAACAATACTCCACAGGCAGCACATTCTTTATGACTAAAGTTACTTTGTTATGCCTCTAATTTTTACTATAAGTCATTTGTTGAATGTTGTGCTACAGATATATAAAATCATCTTGAAGGTGGGTGTGGATATTGTATTTGGTAAGAGAATTGAAAAAAGTTGTCTTTCTTCTTCTTCACCCTTACAAGGTTACACTCTTTTCTATGGAAATCTTTCATTTTATCAGTAGAATTGTGCGAATACTTTAAAAGGTATGTTGAAACTATCTAATTCGAGTTTCGTAGAATAAATAATAATACATTCTTACATACAATGATGCATTTTTCGTTTTTTTAAATACATTGGCAAATTGCAGGATTGAAGGCATGACTTATATTTTATCATATTCGAATAATAGTCTGTGCGAACAGAAAAATTAGTTCTTATGATAATATACTTTATTAAATGAATTTATATCTAACTGATATCAATAATGAAAATGTTGCAGCAGTTAATGTCAGTTGTAAGATTAACTATGAATTCATACTCATCTTAAATATTACCAAGTAAATTTAGCGTACACATGCATATTTCGTCGTTCAAAAAATCTATTCTAATTTTTTATTGTTAAAAACTAATTGAAAACATTGATTATCATTGATTCTTCATGGCTTACAGAGTATTCTTTTTTGACTCATATTGGACATTATACTTATATTTAGATCCTCCTCAAAAAAGGAATAGATACAAATCAAACCTGATTGGCTTAGAACGGTAAAAAAATACTACATACACCACTATGAGTATTTTACACACATATTTTTTTAACCTTATATACGCAAACGAATAGCGCAAAAAAAGATAAGAACAAAAATAAATATTATACATATAACGTGACTCGATTCTTTTGCTGCAAAAGTAAATATGGGTGTATTAACAGAAGGTACTGCGCTAAGTTGGAATGAAATTGTTCCTATCTGTCAAGTTTATCGATCTTATGCATTGTCTCAACTGGTAAAAATTTTTGAGAAATGCAAAGATTATCAAGGAGATTCTTTTCTCTGGGGTGATGAGGTATAAAAAATAGTATTCTTTTACTATCTTTCTCTTATTTCTTTTATATTTTCAGCTAGAATTTACTTTGGTTCATTTTGATCATTCAAACAAACGTGTTCAATTATTACTGAAAGCACATGAAATACTACCTCGCCTTGTAGAAACTAATGAAGAAAATCATGATGAGTAAGTTATTGATACTGACACAATATTTTTACTATTAGCTGTCTTCTAGTACTCCTAGTATTGCTTGGCATCCAGAAACATGTGATTTCATGATTGAAGGTGTACCATGTGAACCGTATGGATTTCTTCCTTCTTATCTCAATACAGTAGAAGCTAATATGACTTTGAGACGAAAACAAGCACAAGAAATATTATCTGAACAATCAGATTGTGAATATATTATAAACATGTCTGCATTTCCTCGGTAATGAGTCAATTCTCTATATAATTCTTCTAATTGTAAATTAGTTCATTTTTTTTATAGATATGGTCAAGGCCAGTTTATTTATTCATCAGCACACGATGACTTACAAGAGGTTACCGAACAATCTATACACTATCCAGATAGACTGATTTCACCAATTCATCCTCGAATGAAGTAGGTCTCTTTCTCTCTTAAAATATCTATTATTAACTTATTTATTAAAGGTCATCCATAGTTAATTCACTTGCAAGAAGTCAAGGACCACCACTAGTTCATATCCCAAGTGAGTATAAACATAAAAACGAATATAACTAAATATCTTTCTCATAATAGTATTTAGAGATACTTCAACTCCATCACCATTTCAAGATCTTTCATTCAAAGGAATAAAAGATTTTCGTGATGATCACATTCATTTAGACTCTATCTTAGCTGGCTGGGGTTGTTGTTGTCTTCAAGTCACATTTCAAGCTCAATCTCTTACAGAATGTCTTCAGGTTTATGATCAATTATTACCATTAACAGGAATTATGGTTTGTGTAAATTCTTTATTATTTTATTCATTCACATTTTATTTTAGTTAGCACTAAGTAATGCCTGTCCTATTTGGCGAGGTTATTTGACAGATATCGATTCTCGATATGAAGTTCTCTTTCAAACAGGTGATGATCGAACACCTGATGAACGTGAAAGATCAACTCTTAATTCTCGTTGTTCTCCAGCACCATTCTATTTATGTGATGAACATAATCATCTCAATGATATTTCACTTGATGTAGATGAAAATGTAGTATCAACACTCACCAAACATGGTTACATATTTTGTTTTGATATCAACATATTCTATTTTGTTTATGAATTAGGAATGTCTTCAAGTTTGGCTCATCATTTTGGTCATTTGTTTGTTCGAGATCCATTAGTTGTTATAAAAGAAAGTCTTCATTTGGAGGATGATACATCATCTTATCATTTTGATGTTAGTTAACATATATTGTTAGATAATTGAAAATGATTTTTATTTAGAATCTGAACTCAACTGTTTGGAACTCTCTTCGATTTAAACCACCACCACTTGATGATGATAGAATGGGGTGGAGAGTAGAATTTCGACCCATGGATGTTTGTAGTTTTTTATTTTATTCTAATATAGATTTTATTTGTTCATTATTTACAATTAAGATACAAATAACAGATTTTGAAAATGCTTCACTTTCTGTTTTTATGGCTCTTTTGACTCGAGTGATTCTTACATATGATCTTGATTTAACAATTCCAATATCTCAAGCTAATGAAAACATAGTTCGAGCACATCATCGAGATTCTGTTCGACATGAAAAATTCTATTTTCGTGCTGGTGATGATGAAAGTAGTTTGATGACAATCAATGAAATAATGAATGGCAATGATAAATTTGCTGGTTTAATTCCATTAATTGAAAAATATCTCAATGAAAGTGAAAATATTAATAGTGATACAAGAGTTACAGTAGGACATTATCTATCATTGATCTCAAAACGAGCTGCTGGTTTGTAGATTTATTTTATTTTGATATTTGTATTGAAATGATGATTTATTTTTGTAGGTATATTATTGACTGATGCATCATGGATTCGACAATTTGTAATGTCTCATCCTGCATATAAACAAGATTCCGTTGTTTCAGATGAAATTCAATATGATTTGATGTGGAAAATCACACAAATTGCTAATGGACATGACACTTGTCCACTTCTAATTCAAACTCGAATGAAAACAAATACTCATTTAAATCCAGAATAAAACGTTATTGATTGTAAAAGACAAATAGATTTTAAAAAGAGCTTTGTATCGCTATAATTTGTGAAAAAATAAAATCATATAATTAAGCAACATAGTAAAAGAAGAATTTTACAGTTGTAGATTTATTTGTATTAAAGCATAATTACGTGAAGTTTTCTTTGTTGTCTTAGTATTGATTTTGCTTGATCTACTAAATCAGTATAAAAACTGATCATTATTTAATGGATATTCTTAATGGTTTATGTAATACCTGATGTATGTGCTGTATAGTTTATCGAATACACTGACGAATCTAATGCAATGTTAAGAGAATCGAATCTTGGAACTAGTCGACATCAGAAAAAACGAAATAAAATTGTTCTTAGGTTGATAAGACCAGGATAATTGATTATGATTGGTTAACAGAGAGATACAACTTCTGTATCGAATCAGTAAGGTGACTGATAAAAGATATTGACGAAACTGAAGATGTGGATGTTGGTAATCAATTCCGTATCTGAAATCACATCCATACTATCTCAAGAAGGAAATAAACCAATTTTAAAATATCGAAGAGAAATATTTTCAAGAAAAATCTATGCACTCTAGCCTTTTAGATGTTAAAATGAAGATCACTTCTCAATAAATTTTTAGATTCGTCATTTAGTGAAAAAAAAGAAAGTTGAAAAAGATATATTTTATAAAGTATGCTGATACTTAAAAAACTATATGTCACATTCAGAATTTTCGTTTGTAATTTTTTAGCATATTCTAATTCCTTCTTAGAAGCTATCGATAGGTTGATTTCTTTTTGACGAATATGTCATTCATGTATATTGAAATACGGAGAAGATTATGTGATAACGCAGTTGTATTGATGCTCCGGCTATACTAGAACGCACATCTATCTTCACATATTGATTGAAATATATATATATGTGTGTACAATAATAATCAATGATGTATTAAGATATCAGTTGAGTTCTTTGTATGGAGAATTAAATGTTCAGTTTTATTTAAGGTAAAAATAAAAATCATGTTCGTTGGAATTATAATACTAAGAGCTGCATAGCATGAAGATTAGTTGAAGATACACTTTTAGATTACTGAACTTCAGCTACAACTCTCATGGAGACAGAGTATATGTATCATTCCCAAATATTCGGCTTCTTCTATTTAGTTTGAATACAGTCAAGAATGTCCTTCAGAAAATGTCTTTGCAAAAATGTCCGTGGTTTTTCGTCCTTCAGAAAACGTCCTTCATATTAAATGTCCTCTGTACAAATGTCCTTGGGAAATGGTCCTTTTGAAAATGTCCTTTCCGAAATGTCCTTTCACTAAAAAGAAGTCGACAATGTTAGTTTTAAATATTGATCTTGAGGGTATGGGTGGATGTGGGTGTCAGTGACGGTATTCTTTTCATTCCACACCTTCACTCTCACCCTCACCCTCACCCACACTCACACCCACACCCACACCCTGGTTTTATTGAATTTTCATGTTTCATTAAAACTAGAAATATCAGAAATCTGTCTTCAAAAACAAAGTTTAAAAGTATCTGAAAATCGTTTTTGTACATCTTTAGATATGTTATGAATATACGTATATATCGAATAGATCTTACGCATGATAAATTATGAACTGATTTTTAAATAAAATAATCATTTATTTAATTTGATTATTGTAAATTTTGAGTATATCCTATTAGTTGTAACGAAAAAACAATGAATTAGAAGACGATTAAAGTTACTTTATTATTCTTCTTATTTTCACGGTAAGTCATCTGATAAATTTTGTTTTACAGATATATAAAAGCAAAATGTCGTTAATCGTTATTAATACTTGAAAATCATCGTTTAGTAGATTCACACTCTAAAAATTTACTAATTTATTTTAAATATAATAAAAATACAATGCTTAATCTACGCTATTTATAGAGTGTGGGTGTGAATATTGTATTTATTTCACACCCACACCCTAGTTTAAACAAATGTGTAGAATAGTTTTGATCTATTTAATGATTATGACTGTCATCCAAAAGCCATACGAAAGGATCATCATCTTGTTGTTTGGGTTGAAATTCAGCCAATGCATGAAGCCACTTAATTAGATCGTGATCATAACGTGACATCAGAAAGGCAGACATCATGTCCATACCAGCAGTAATTCCACTACCAGTCCAAAATTTACCGTCCACAGTCCATCGACCTTTTGGCATCCATTGAACTTGTGGAAATTTTTCGGTTGCAAATTTATATGCGCTTTTGTTGGTTGATGCCTTTTTTCCATTGAGGACACCAGCTTGAGCCAGTATGAGCGATCCAGTGCAGATACTCATCACGATCTCAACTTCATTTACTCGCTCCTGAACGAAACGAATTAATTCCGGCGAGAAATGAGCATCTGGAGGCGAACCTGGTATCATCAACAGATTGAGAGGTGGGCAAGTTGCGTAAGTACATGTAGGCAGTTGTCGGGGTCCTGCAGCAGGAGAAACAGGCTCGAGAGAGTGAGAAATATAGTGAAATTCCATTGGAACAGCCTTATCACGTAGTGAAGGTGGAGCATGGCAAGCATCAAGAAATGCAGGAGTCAACATCGTTATCATATCAATTGGACCAGCGCCATCTAACAATTGATGCGATTCAGGCAAGAGAAGACCGACGTGAAGCGTTCCTTTCATAATTCGTAACTAATGTTTACAATGAAAGAATAAATAATGCAGGGCGGTATTTTTATACCATAACGTGGTAATAAAACGAGAGAAAGAAAAATTTCCCGATGAATCAAAAAAATAAAAGCATTGACGCCCGTTCATTTATAGCACGATTCGATGTAAAAAGAAGAAGAGAGAAAAAATATCAAAAGAATAAATGTCAAAGAAAATGAGAAGAAATATAGAAAGAAAAACAAGTGGTTATAAAAGACGGCTGAAATAGTATGGTTGAATAAGTTTTCTTTTGATTGATCTGTGTCGTTAAATATGTTTGGATTCTATGTGTAACGACTATTCTTTATAACAGAATTCCATTTATTGATTTGTCATAAAAGACAAAACATTGAATAGCGATAATTCCGTTGCTACTGAATATACTAATCTTGATGGCATTACGTCAAATTTTGAAGACAACCTATAAAATATCTATTCCTGTGAAATGACATGCATTCTAGATGTTCGCTATAATTTATACTCATTGTTCATTTATTCCTCATTGAGCAATTTTAACTTAATTATCTCTGCAAGCTTGATGTTTTTTTCAGTTCCTTTTCTGTAGAATTATAGATATTAGTTATGCATGGTCACTATGAATATACAAAAATTATTTACAGTTACGATTGACACTGTTTCAAAAGTAACAGCTATTAACAAAAAAGTATCATCCTTTTTTTTTATATAGGTAATAAAAGTGACTAATAATATCTCTAACTTATCATGTGTTTTTTTCATTGAAATAAAAAGGATGGTAATGGGTGCGGGTGTGGGTGTAGGCACTCTATTTCATCTACACTCTTAGAATACGTGTATTTTCATATCCCAATTTTTGATTCAAGTAGATGTCGCCTACTTTCAGTTGAAATGATCATTTGTGAAGCATTACATACGTCAACTATTTTATATTGGTGCTTCCATTAACCGTTCGAAAACTACATTCGATCTAATATTAATTTTTCTACTATTCTCAATGAAAATTCAAATTTACTGTCATTAAACCAAAACTAAACTACTTTGAAGTTTATTAACCACACAGAAATGTTCAAAACCGAAATTACATAGAAGTTTTATTAATTTGTACTAAAAATTTGAAGAATCAATTTAAAAATAAAAAATAACATATATTTTTTATAGATTATGAACTATTCAAAGGGATAATATGCTATTAAAATGCGATCGATTCTTAAAAAAATCTTCATTACTACTGGTGTATTCTTCCTTGTCAATGTAATTCTATTAATAAGTCTTAAAGGTTTCCATGCACCAATGAGTAAACATGAACCGGTTCGTTTTCTAATCTATGTAAAATATTTTATTTAATACTAGACATTTTTCTAGGGACCACCTATCGATAAACCAATTAATCCAAAGTTTCCGCCATCTGTCATATCTACTAAATCACAACCTTCAATATCGGTAAATTCTTATACATAAATCATAGAAAATAATCCAATGTTTGTTTTGTCTTTAGAAAACTAATACTATTCTACCGGTTGTTGTTTTTGGTTGTAATCGACCACGTGCTCTTCAAACACATGTTGAAGCACTACTACGGTATATAAAATAAATATTCTTATATGGTTTTTTCATTATCTAACATTATATATTTAGAATTCGTAAAGATCCAGAATTACATCCAATTATAATCAGCTTAGATTGCCATAACGATGAAACAATTCAAGTTGCTAAAAATTTTGGTGATAAAATTAAAACAATTATTGAAGTACATATATTGTTTTTCACGAACAATAAAATTATTTTAATTTATTTAGTTACCTGATCTTGGTCCTATTCATGTTCCTTCACAATTTGAGCATATGTCTGGATATTATAAAATAGCACGTCATTATAATTATTCAATTAATTATGTTCTGAATAAACTTAATTATGAAGGAATTATTATTACTGAAGGTTCGTTTGTTTTTCTTATAAATCAATTATCGAAAAGATTATTATTTATGTTCTTTTTTTTATAAATAGATGATTTGGAAGTATCACCTGATTTTCTTGATTATTTTCAAGCACTTTATCCATTGTTAATACATGATAAAACAGTATGGTGTATATCAGCATGGAATGATAATGGTATTGATAAAAAAACTGCTCGAGAACCAAGTAAAATGGATAAGAGAAATTAATATTTTAACTAATATTTCTTCTAAAGCTCTTCTTCATCGTACTGATTTTTTTCCTGGCCTTGGTTGGTTATTATCACAAACTATTTGGAATGAAATCAAAGGAACTTGGCCAGCAGGGTATTATTAGATAGAAATTTAAAAAATAAATAATTCCTATTTTATTTAGTTTCTGGGATGATTGGATGAGATTACCCGAACAACGTCATGATCGTGTTTGTATTCGTCCAGAAATCTCACGAACTGCTATATCACCAGAGGGTAAAAAAGGTGTTAGTCAGTATGTATATTATATAACATTTGTTAAGTTTTTTTCTTATATGATTTATTCATAGAGGACAACATTATGAAAAATATTTGAAGAAAATTATTAAAAATACTGTTCCTGTTGATTGGAAATCTATAGATATTAGTTATCTTATTAAAGTATATAAAAAAGCAAATTATTTTATTTTTTTCTTGATATTAAATTTTATAGGATCGATATGATCCAGTCTTCCAAGCTCGTGTTGATGCTTGCCCAGTTATTACTATATCCGATTTAGGACATTTAAACAATGATAAGAACTGTGCTCAATTACGTTATAGCAATAATAAAGAGTTTATTACTATTGCCAATACATTAGAAATAATGAATGATTTCAAGGTAATATTGAAATAGCATTCTATCATCATTATTATTTAAAACTTTTGTTTAGAGTAATGTACCACGAACAGCTTATCGTGGTGTAGTACAATGTCAATATGGTTCAACAACGATTTATGTGACACCAACTCAACAACCGTGGAATGGCTATTAAAGATATAAACATTAGAGTATTCCGCTCAGTTCTCACATCTTTTTTAGTTTATTTGTTTTTTGACTCTATAAAAAAAACCTGTGAGCACAATTGTGATAAAATTCATTCGATTCGTTTGTTTTATTTAAATTATAACTTGTTTGATCGTACATCTTTTTTTTTTATATAAATAATCTCATTATAAAAGAAAATATATACTAAAGATAATTCAGAATGACAATGCAACCTTTTTCAGATGCTTGCTAGACAATGTTTATCGTATCGGTTTTATCAAAGATTTCATATATCTCTAAATCGTTATCGTTTGATGTCAACACGTCGTGCAAATCCATTAGATATTCAAATGCTTAGTTCGAAATTACATGAGCAATTATTTTCATCAGTGGGTGAACCGGAGTATTCAGAGTCAAATACTATGACATCAAAAACTCATCTTAAAAAATTTAATCTTGGTTCCACACCAAGTGAAATACTCGAGGATATTGAATTTGATATACCAAAATTAAAAAGTAAAAATTTAAATGAACATTTTCAAATAATTGCAAAAAAACAATCAAAACCATATGTTGATCTTATTAAACAACTAATTCAAAGTAAAATACCACCACAACCAACGAAATGGGTTTATGCAAAAGGATGGACAAAGTTTGTTTTCGAATCAATCAATTTGATTTGAAAATTTTTCAATTTATGTTTTTCTTAAAAGATATTCTGGAAATGGTGAAATAACAACTTCTGTTGATTATCCAGATGAAAAAGTAATGGTTTTTGATGTTGAAACATTAGTTTGTGAAGGAAATTTTGCTGTTTTGGCTGTAGCACTTTCACCTAAGCATTGGTTTGTGATTTGAGTGGTACACTACGTGCAAGAATTAACATAGAATTAATGATTTTAATTTTTATATCTTAGGTATTCTTGGTGTAGTTCTCGTTTAATTGATGAAGAATTTCGTTTACAATCAAATGTTGAATTAAATGATATGATTCCATTAGAATCTGATCCATCAATACCATCACTTGTTATTGGTCATAACGTTGCTTTTGATCGTACATATATTAAAGAACAATATCAAATTGAAGTAAATATAGAAAAAAATTCAATTAAATATCAATAAATTTCTTTTTTTTCTTAATTAGAGTACAGCTATGCGTTTTCTTGATACAATGAGTTTACATATAATGTGTTCGGGTTTTACACATGCACAACGATTACAATATCAATCATTTGAAAAAGGTGCAACATTAAGAACAAATGACAAAGATGAATTAACAGCAGAAGAAAGTTTGGATGAACAATATTTATCAATGTTATTAGCTAATGAAAAAGATAAAGATATGAAAACATATTCAAAAATGCGTACTATACAAGTATGAAAACACATTGATTACTAACGAGGGAACCTTCTCAGTTGTCATCTCTCGTTTTCTTTCATTCATATCTCATTTAGTTGGGTATATACCTCAAAAAATAAACTACGAAGTTTCGACCTGAGATTTTGCTCATATATAGATCCAATAGTTATTAGAACATCCTGAAAGTTTCAGCCAAAAAGAATGTTCCTTTCTTGAGATATTCAGTTTTCAAGTGACCCAATTATGGGTCCAAAATCCAGTAAAACCGGAATAACTACTCAAGGAAGAGGATTGGGCACAAACCCTTTTAGGCTTTTTCCTATCTCAATATACTCAACTAAATGTGATATGAACGAACGAAAACGAGAGATTACATAAAATTTCGAACTAATGAATTTCTAAAATATGAATGTACTTATCGATTTAGAATCTTCGATGGAAATTAGAAAGTAGTTTAAATAATCTTGTATCTGTGCATAAACTTTATTGTCCAACAAAAAAACCAATAAGTAAAGCAATGCAAAAAATATTTGTTGAAGGAAATATTTCTGATGTACGCGAACATTTTCAGAACTTAATGTCCTATTGTGCAGATGATGTTAGAGCAACATTTGAAGTAATACAAGCAGTGTATCCATTGTTTCAAGAACGGTAATAAATCTAAATAGATACATGATTTTTCTTTGTTTTTCTAAAAATATATAAATTAATCTAGATTTCCTCATCCAGTAACACTAAGTGGTATGCTTGAAATGAGTCGAATGTTTTTACCAATTAATAATAATTGGACAAGATTTATTCATGAAGCTGAACGAACATATGAAAGTATTAGTTCTGATATTCAACATGTATTAATGCAAATTGCAAATGAAGCATGTCAACAAGCTATTGATCAAAAGTATGAATCGATTATGAAAATTTTAATTTCTTATATTTAATTTTTTATTAGATATAAAAATGATCCTTGGTTATGGGATCTTGATTGGAGTACTCAATCAATACGTTTTCTTAAATCATCAAAAGCGAAAGCATTACCATCAAAAACTGAAGCAAAAGTAGATAATTCAATTTTTAAAATTGCTGGAAATATATGGCCAACAAAAATAATGACAGATAATGATCCAGAATTAACTCCAAGTCCAGCTATAAAAAAAATTCTTGATACACATTCGACTTTAACAAAAATTCAACCACATATGCCAGGATATCCAAGGTGAATTGATTTTTATTCATTTTTTTCATTCAAATATTTTATTTGTTATAGTTGGTATCGTGACTTATGTATGAAACAACCAAAAAATGATGATAATGAAGAGGAATCAACTTGGAAACCAGGTCCACAATTAATTTCTACAAAAATGCGAGTTGTTCCGAAATTATTACGTTTAACTTGGCTTGGTTATCCTGTACATTATGATGACAAACATGGTTGGGGTTATCTTGTACCAGGTTTAGAAATTGATGAGGCAGAAAAATCAACTGATTTTCCTTATGAGTATGTTTATATATAGATTAAATATTCAATAGAGAAATATTTATTATTTTCAAAGAGCAATTCAAAAAGTATGTGAAGAAACAAAACCATTTGAACGTAGTTCTACAAATATGGAACTACAAGAAATTGATGATCGTTTGAAAAAATTAGAAAGAGAAATTGAAGAACTTGAAGGTAGAAAACAAGCGTTTAAATATATGGAAAATCTTTTACAACAACAAGAAAAATTAATAGAAAGAGTATGTATTATACATTTATTATTTTTCTTTATCTCATTCAATTTTTTTATAGCGTAGGAAACTTCTTCCGAATGGTACACAATGTACTATTCATCAAGGAAATGGACCCTATGAAGTACCAAATGTACCTGGTTGTTGGTTTTTTAAAATACCACATAAAGTAAATTGAAAGAATTTTTGTTCGTTTTCTTTTTGTATTAATTATACAGGATGGGAATGAAAAAAATGTTGGTAATCCATTAGCAAAATCGTTTGGTTCGAAAATTGCTGATGGTACATTACGTGCTCATGAATCAACATCTGCTAAATGGCTTCTTCAATGGAGTAAAATGTTAAGTTATTGGGAAAATAATGAAAAAAGAATCAAGTAAAATTATTCTAAAAAGAGTAAAAATATATATATAGTTAATTTTTAAGATCTCAAATGGCTGTACAAATCAAAGATGATGGTACAGGAATTATTTTACCTCGTGTTGTTGTTGCTGGTACAGTTACACGACGTGCTGTTGAACCAACATGGTTAACAGCTTCGAATGCTCAAGTAATAATTCAAAAAATATTATCCTATTTTTTCGATTATTAAACAAAACTATTTTTTAGACAGATCGTATAGGTAGTGAACTTAAAGCTATGGTACAGGCACCGCCTGGTTATTGTTTTGTTGGTGCTGATGTTGATAGTCAAGAGTTATGGATTGCTTCAATTCTTGCTGATGCTCAATTTGCAGAAATGCATGGTAAATCAAAGAGAATAAATATTTTTAGATTTGAAAAGAAAAGAATTAATTTTTTTCGAAAGGTTCAACAGCATTTGGTTGGATGAATTTACAAGGAAAAAAGAAAGATGGAACTGATCTTCATAGTAAAGTAGCTAATTTAGTTGGTATTAGTCGTGATCAAGCAAAAGTAAGTGAATATAATTATGGTAGAGAAGAATTGTTTGCTAAAACTAACATTCATGATTTTTCTTTGAAAAAAAGAAGAAGAAATAGTTCAAAACTGATTTATTATTAAGGTATTTAATTATGGACGAATGTATGGAGCAGGAAAAACATTTGCAGAAAAATTATTAATGCAATTCAATCATGAATTAACTGTCGATGAAGCAAAAGACAAAGCAGATGTTATGTATTCAAACACAAAAGGAATTAAGTATGATAGCTTTTTTATTTTCGTATGAATATCATGATCTTTTTTCAGAGATCGAAAAAGTGGTTTATGGCGAGGCGGTTCAGAATCGGAAATGTTCAATAGTCTTGAAGCAATTGCTCGTAGTAAAACACCCGAAACGCCAGTATTAAAATGTCGAATTAGTCGAGCACTTGAACCACATAATGTCGATGAGGCAGTAAGAAGAATTCATTTGTATTAAACTTTCTATAGTTTAATTATTCATTTTATTAGTATATGACAAGTCGTGTTAATTGGGTTGTACAAAGTTCAGCTGTTGATTATCTTCATTTAATGCTTGTTTGTATGAAATGGTTGATTGATACATATAATATACGATGTCGATTTGTTTTGAGTAAATAATATATATTGTATGAGTTAATTGAGGTCTTTATCAATGATTTAGGTATTCATGATGAAGTTCGATATATATGTCATATTGATGATCGGTAAGAAAATAATTAGACAAAATTTCTTCGAATAAAATTTTCTATTTCTTTTAGATATCGAGCATCTCTTGCATTACAAATTACTAATTTATTAACTCGTGCTATGTTTGCTAGTTGTTTAAACATGAATGATTTACCAGCGGTGAGTTCTTTTTTTCTGTTTAAATCAATTTTCTAACTATTATGTATATTTTAGTCAGTGGCATTTTTCAGTTCAATTGATGTTGATCGATGTTTAAGAAAAGAACCTTTTATGGATTGTAAAACACCGAGTAATCCATTAGGTCTTGAAGCAGCATATAACATTCCACCAGGTATTTTTATTTTTATCATTTTTTCTTAATGAATTTACGTAAATTATAGGTGAATCGTTAACAATTAGTGAGATTCTCACACTAACAAATAAAACATTAGAATTACCGAAACCTCAATCATCAACAAATAAACAATTAGAGTTACAGGAACCTGTAACTATTGTTGAGAAATAGTAACTTATTGATGAAAATTTTCTTTTGTAATAAACTATATTATGAAAATCTTCAATGAATTTATGAATATCATCGAATATTATAATAAGTTATATATAGGGTATGTGTATGGGTATGTAGAAAAAGAAAAGACACCCACGCCCTCAAGATGAGTATTTTCAAATAAAAGTTTTTATTCAATCAAATATTCGTATAAAACTAGGTTTTCTCGAGAGCAATGGTACCAAAATTGACTCATTTTGAAGTAGCTGTGTAGGTTTATGATAATTAAAAGATGATCTTCATTTCTAAATGCGTTTGGAAGATTTCAATAAAACGTTCATTACCACCTGTAGCAATTTTATTGTTCGAGAGATCAAGTGTCAACAATGTCTGTATATTTGAATAAGCAAGAAATTGTAAAATAGAACATTCACACGAAATTACTTTGTTTTTTATGATAGCATTAATTAGATGCTTTGCTCCTTGAATACTGATACAGTTTGATTTGAGAATAAGTGTAGTTAATACCTATATTAAATAAATATGCTATGCTAAAATGAAATATGAAATTTACTCTGTTTTCCGCTAATAAATTAATTAGAAATCCAACTCCTCGATCAGTAATTCCATTATTTGAGAAATCAAGTGTAGTCAATGTCTAGACATATTCATGAACGGTCAAATGTAAAAAAGAAGAAGAAGATGAATTTAATACTTGATTTTCTCGTAAAACTTCGGAAAAACATTGCAGCCCTTGTAACCCAATAGTACATCTTTCCAAAAATAATCCACTCAGTGTCTGTAGAAGAACTTAGTCAAATGATAAGACAATAAGCGAGATGTTACTTTATTTGTTAAGAGAGCATTAGCGAATTGTTTTGCTCCTTCAGAACCAATCGAATTCATTCCAAGATGAATTTCAATAAGTGTCTATATCAATGAATAAGAAGAAGAAGATGACACTGATAAAATCCTACTTGATTTTGTCTTAGAGCATTAGCTAATTGTTGTGCACCTTCTGCACCAATGTCATTTCCTTCAAGATAAAGTCTAGTGAGTGTCTGCATTCATAAATGAATGAATGATAGAATATTAGAAAATATTACTCGATTTTTCTTTAGAGCAGCAGCTATGTAATGTGTTCCCTGATCCATGATTTGATTATGTCCTAGTTGAAGTGTACAGAGTGTCTAATAAAATAATGATTCGTGAACAATAAAACGAAAAAGAAATCCAATCTGACATCGTTTTTCATTAGAGCAGCTGCAATAGATTGTGTTCCGTGTATACCAATATGATTGTAATTAAGCATAAATATTGTTAATCTCTGAATAAAGTAATCAGTTGTAATTCGAATAGAAGCAGATATGATACTTTATTTTTTAATAGAATATTTGCTACATCTTGTGCTCCTTGAACTCCGATATCATTGAGAGAGAGATCAAGTGTAGTCAATGTCTAAAGCAAATAAGAATGAAAGAATAAAATAAAATGTTAAATATGAGTACATGGTTATGTCGTAAAGCATATTCAAGATATTTGATTCCTTGATCACCGATATGATTGTTTTCTAGTTCTATTGTTGTGATCGTCTATATATGAATGATAGAACGAGCATGAATAGAAATGAATGATTTATCTTACTTGATTTTTTAAAAGAGTATTAGATAAATATTCTACTCCTTGAGGTCCTAGTTTATTAATTCCAAGATATAATGTAGTCAATGTCTATAGATAAGATAATTAAAGAATATAGAGGAGAAATTAAGATGTTACTTTATTTGTTTCTAGAGTTTTGGCTAAATATTTTGTACCTTGTGAATCAATTTGATTGAATCTGAGATGAAGTTTAGTTAATATCTATATTTATCAATTGGTTAAGCAGAGATTCAAACATTTAATCTACTTTATTTTGTTGTAGAGCATTGCTTATATATTGAAGTTCTTCTAAACTGATTGGATTACCTTCAATATACAAAGTCGTGAGTGTCTGTTTAAAGAAACGAATGCATAAAAAGATAATGTTATGCAGAATAATTACTTGATTATGTGAGAGAGCATATGCTAAACTTTGGATTCTTTGTTCACTGATTTTAATCAAAAAAAGACGAAGTGTAATGAGTGTCTAAATGAAAGATTGATTAAATATTTTCCGTAGATGATCAATATGAAGATACTTTGTTTTGTTGTAAAGCATTGAACAAATGTTGTTCACCTTGAGAATCTATTTGTATATGATCGATTCTAAGTGTAGTCAGTATCTGTATCAATATATGCTTAAATGTAAGAGCAATGGTGAAAAAAGAGAAATTGAATGTTACTTTGTTTTCTCGTAGAATATTTCCGAGATAATTTGTTTGTTTGAAAGAAATTCTATTGGGAGTTAAATGAAGTGTGTTTAATGTCTGAACAACAAAAGAATATTCATTTTCTACTTATAATTATATTCCTAAAAAGTCTCTCATCGTAAGTAACAAATTTATTTCTTTAATAAAAAACGATTGTGTGTAGTAAATACATGGCTTGTCGCTAGTCGAAGACAATATTACCTGATATCGAATGTATTTGTCTATGATGGAATTGAGTTTTGTGCAAACATTTCTACATGATAGAAGAAGTGTTATTTCATCAACATTATCAAGGATTCGATAGATCAATTCAGCAGGTAATGTATGTAATAATCCAATCATTCTATCAGATATTATTTCAATACTACGTATGATGATTGACTGACTGATATATCATTAGAAAAGAAATGAACTGTTTTGATAAGAATGACAAAACTTGAAAGATTTCCATTGAAGTAATGATCGATTTATATTTTCTTTGTATTTTAAATGAGATGCAAATTATTGTCAACGTTGACTTTTCTCTTTTATTCAAGGTCGTTTATAGTGAATATTTTTAGTTGAAAGATGAAAATCAAAATTTTTGAGAAGAAATTAAATGTATTGCATAAACAAATAGTTATTAATGACGTCAACAACATTATTATAGGTAGTTTTAGATCATAAAGTCGTCGATTGTTATTATTTTCCTTCATAATGGTTCGTTCCACTAATTGGAAAAATAATTTTTCAAAGATAATCGCATATTGAGGATGCGCGTGGGTATTTTCTTTCATTCACATTCGCACGAACCTTAAGTCAAATACTAGAGGGTATGGGTATTTTCCTTTTGCTGCACTCACACCTTTGATTTATAGTGAAAATTTATTAATGATTTCTCTTCTTATCATTCAAGTATAATAATAATAATAAATCTTTGTATGTAATCACGTTACGTTTTTGATTGATGATCTCTTTAATAGTTAAATACACATCTATTCTTTATTTCACAAGCATTTATATTATTTTTTCTAATAACTATATAGTCATCGGGTGTGGGTATCGATGTGAGTGTAAGTATCAGTTTAAGCTCACATCCATGCCCACCCTCAAAAAATAGATCAACTTGATGAGGTTCATGCTATTTATTGTATTGGTAGTATT